AGAAGAGAGAGAGAGAGAGAAAAAGGTTAATGACGCACAGTAGGAAATCAACCTCTAAGTATCACAGATAAGTATCACAAGAAATGGGATGGAGGGGTAGATGGGGGGGTGGAACAGAAAGGGTCTTGTGAAAAAAGGAGCAGATGATGAGATCCTGAGAGGACAAACAAAAACAAAGAAAAGGCAGTGAGGAGGAACGGGCAGAAAGAAAGACCTAGAGTCATGGAAATAGAAAATGATTGACAAACAGAGCTCAGAAGCACCAGGGTGTTTTATCATCTCCTGTTCACATCAGAGCCCACACAGACCATTAGACGCAAGCCCGGCTTGAATCAATTTGGAAATGATCTATTCAAGAAAAATCTTGAGAGGGCGAGCGCACAGCACTCAGCCTTTTACCAGCACAATGAGTGTTGCTTTTGTTTTTATGTTTTTTTGTGTGTGTGTTACCTTGGTGGCAGATAGCGGGGAGGTGCAGATGTGCCAGAGGTGCAGTGTTTGGTTGAGATGGAGGGACAGGTGGGAAGACTGGCATGAACTGGGTCAGCGAATATCGCAAAAGGGTGCGGTGCTGTTTGGGAAACAATGTGGGAAGGAGGGAGAGGGAGAGAGAGATCTGGAACGAGTGAGGGGATTGAGGAAGAGTGGAGTGAGGCTGGCACTAATGACGGGTGCGCCCAGGGCCACACAAGTACAGCTGTCCCCCCCCCCCCCCGTAAAACACAGTAAAACACAGTGTGTTGGTCCGTGCTCACAGGAACAGCTGGGTGGCTCTGTGGAAAGAAAAAACAAAGTAGGAGCACATAGCACATCGCCAAATCATCATCTCTGCCTTGAGCTCGTAGAGTTTCTCCAACACAACCCAGTGATGCTCTGGGGAGACTCTCGGTTCAGAAAGGAGCCAGAGAGGTGGCGGACCCTTGAACCTCTGGCGCGATCCTCGCCTCGGACAAATCCCTTTTGCTTTCATTGAGTTTTCCAGAGACTGACGTCAGACTGTGTCCAGAGCGCGCTGAGTCACACCACACACACACACACATGCAGGCTCTGCCCACCACCTCGTCTTTGTGCTTGTGTGCCCCTTGGTGGCCTTGTGGAAAAAGGATGTGCATACACACACACACACACACACACACACACACACACACACACGCTGCATGATGTCAGAAGTACTTCTCCAACCTCACCTCACACCCAGAGTCCCTTATCGCTGATATCATACACCCAGGTCTTACGGGGCTTAACCCCAAACACACAAACAGATAAAGTCAGCTCAAAGACATATCATTTGCACTTGTATTGGACAGGCTTACATGTAGGAGGATATCTGCCCGTCTGACTAACTCCTTGTCTGTCTGACCACCCCCTCCTTCCAGCCTGCCAGCACTCCTTGTGTCTCTCGCCGTCTCTTTCTCCTCCTTCTCTTCTCGCCTGTGTTTGTCTTTCAATCAGTGCTGAGGTGATGTGGGCCAGGCAGAGGCCAGCAATAATGTGATTATAAGGGGTCCCCGGGCGCAAAGTCTTCACTCAGATCGTCCAAATCACCCCGGGGACTTCCGTCACATTTTGCCGGGGATCTCCAGGTTCGGGGAAAAATTGGCCTCAATAAGATCTTCTTGTTACTTATGGTTGTTTGGGCCTCACCTCTTTTTGGCCTTGTTTTTTGAAAGCGTCAGAATGTGTGCACCAGCCCCGCCACGAGATGTCTGCGAGCACGCTCACGGAGCATTAGAGGCCAGGGGGGAATAGAGGGTTTGGGCTATGGCGGTTTAAAGTGCATTTGTGTGTGTGTGTTAAACACATATACATTTGTAGTCCCCGTGTGTATTTTCAAGGCCTCCAGAGGCTACACAGATGAATGAAACGTCAGATCAGGTAAGCCGGGCGATGCTGCCCAACATGTGCTGCAGCAGCATGGCCCCCGGGGGATTTCTTTTTTTTTTTTTTGAATGGTGTGTCTGCCAGATTGCCGCGGTGTATGGGGGTGTGTGAGGTGAGTTGAGGAAGTGTGACTCTCGTCAGGAAAAAAGATGAAGAGGGTTCAGACATGACAAGCGTGTCATTAATCAAAAGGTTCTCCAGGCAGCGTTCGTGGATCTACCGGCTCTCGATGGAGGAGAAACCAAAGGAATGGACTGGACGAGAACAGGAAGAGAGTGTGTGTGTGTAGTTCTGTGTTTTTTCCCGCAGATTCATTACTGAGAAATTCCCTATTCCTTCAGCCTTTCCTGTGCTCTGGCCATTCACCATGAACCCCTCTGGCAGCTCCATCCATGACAGGTACAGAGAGAGAAAAGCACTCTGTAGGAAGCAAATCTGTCACCGTGTTAACTAAAACATGTCAGTGTAGCAGTGTGTCTGTGTGTGTGTGTGTGTGTGTGTGTGTGTGCCTGTGCAGTGTGGATAGCTGATTGGAATCCAAGGCTGCAGCCGGAGTGAAGAGTTTATTTGATAGCTTCAGAGAAGGAAGAGACTCAAGAAAGGAGCTTTTGAAAGAGCTGGAGCAGTCTGTGTATCCGCAAACTAAGGGGGGGGGGGGGATAGGGGGGGAGAGATGGGGAGAGAAATCAAGGTTCAACTATGAGATGCAGTGAAATGTGTCTGTGAGTGAGTGTGTGTGTGTTCCTGGCCTCTGGGGAGCCAGCTCCTCTCTCTGGACTAGCCTGAGCCCACCTGAGTCTCTCCCCCACCCCTCCAGCTGTCTCCGTCTCCCTGTCCAACCCCCCCACCCCCCCATCACCCTTATCTCCATCCTCCAAATTCAGTAACTCCCAATCTCCGTCTGAAAACCCGCGAGCCCCGGTGCCGCTCAGATGAGTTGTGTAACGTTTGCGTTTTCTCTTGCCTCCGAACCACATTATCGATTTGAATCTGATAACCGCGCTGCAAAGTAAAAGTTGAACCGTAGTGTGCAGATCTTCCGTGACCTGTGATACTGTACTGACGGCTGTGTCTAGTGTTTTCCACTGAAACAACTCCAGCTTTTAGACTGCGCCACAGCAGTATGAATTCCCATATAAGGCAGGAGGACCCTTTCTAACCTTCTCCCTCCTCCTCCTCCTCCTCCTCCTCTACCCCTTCACTCCAGCAACCGGCACTCTTCCCTTTCTGCTAACACCGTGCTCTGATGCCCTTAAGACACACACACACACACACACACACACACACACACACACACACACACACACAATATCTAATAGAGGACTGCCTGACAGCAACAGTCCTGTGTCAACCACTGGCGGGTCTATCAGTTTCAGTACTGATATGTGTCGTTTTGTGTTCTCAGTCTATCATACCTGTCTTCTTGCGTTGCTACATTTTCTTCTGTAGGCTACACAATACAGTAAATATCACAGCTAAGCCTCAGATCAAGCCTCACAATTCCAACGGGAGGGATGAGGATAGCGGGGAGCAGAGAGGGAGGTTGAGATGGCTTGAAAGACGAAGACAGGGAAGACGGAGAGAGAGAGAGAGAGAGAAAAACACAAACAGAGCTGATAAGACCTTCGGCGGAGGAAGTGTCGTTCTCAGCCAATCCCCAGTGGACTCCCAGTATCCCACTCTTCCCCCGTTTGCTGCAGGATGTGTCCTCGTGTGGGAATACGCGAGGAATGTGGCCCCTTTTGTTTAGTGCGCGATAGGCTCCTGGTTGGCGGTCGTTTATGCGTATCTTTACTGTATGTGTGACGAGCTCCAGGCCTGGCAGAGGCTGATCGGAGAAACACTCAACAGACCTTTCTGGGCAAGGCCCTCTTAGGAAAAAAATGACTGGTTTTATGGCTGCTATCTTTCAAAGCCCCTCCTTTGGCTGGCGGAGCTCTTGCATCTCATAGACTATAGATTAGATAGACAAAGGGCTAAGAAGCTATCAGTGGTTCCCAACATTTGTTTGGGTCTGATGTTCCCCTAAAGCCCCGTCAGATAAAACCAGCCATTTGAAGCATTTCTGCATAACTTTCATTACTTTTCTATTAGGCAACTTTTATTCATTACTAGCTTTTTAAAATTATTGTTTTTTTTTACCATTTATTGAGTAGTTTCAACTGCTTATCCATTATATCCATTTATCCATTGGTTATCCTTCATAACTCAGATTAAATACACTAGTCATGTTTGGATATAAGACACATATACAGTATGTATCCATTAAGTAATAATGCACTTGATATATATTTTCACTAATAAGGACAAGACTAGAATATTAAACGTAATGCAAGAAGTCAGAATGAGTGTTACAATTTGTGGGGCAACCTACTGTATATTCAATTTAAAAAAATAAAAGCACATAATTATATACTAATACATATATTTATATGTATAATGATGTCTTTAATTTTCCTTTATATATATATAAACCTTTAAATATATATTATTGATGAGCTGCTCAGACATTTAATTTTAGTTAAATATGTTCATTTTCTATAAGAAAAGTAAGTTAACACCATAGACTTACTTGGTTAACACAGTCAAGGAGGCGCTTCATTGGGCCATGTGGCTCGGGGGGCAACTGATCTTGCAGCATTGATCAAATACGCCAGCTAGCGACACCTATATTAACATCAGGGGTTCATGTTGATTTGTAACCAATAAACTAGAGATAAAATTGATTAAGTTTAATTTCACAGTCATCTAAACTTTAGATAGCAAAGAGAGAATCCGACTTGAGCATGCGCACAGTTAGTGTCGCTACTCTAGCTTGTTTCCGATTGAGGAATTGAGTTTGTTACAATTGCCCCCGTTCTCCCCCCTAATTTTAGCTTTTTCACATTTCTAAATCTAGTAGGCTATACTTTTAACTATAGCTATCAGTATAACTGTTCATCCATTACTTTTATACATTTTAAGAATTCCCCTACTACTATTGCTTACTTATTTCAACAGCTTATCAAACAATTTAACCTAACAAATGCTACGATTTACCCATATACTGTTAACTATCACTAGCTAACTCCCTCGCTAGCTCATTTTCAGAACACTCAATCACAATACAAGACATAAAGCAGCATTGGTTGGGAATGACTACAAACATCTTCATTTAATTCAGTGAACTGACAAGCAGAGCATTTATTTCATTCACTACAATATGACTAATTCAGAAATGTACAGTTGGTTGAATGTTTCAGGCTCTTTGTAAAGGGTACAATTTCACAGAGTATTTTTATTTTTTTCCCCCACTGGAGACCTGTAGTTCTCTTTGCCCAAGGCCTTAACAAAAGTACAACTCTTGAAAGGTCTTCATATAGACTCTCTAAAACTGTCGGAGCCTACCTTGGCCTTTTTTTTTACGCAGTAATACGTCTACACACACAAACCATTTCAGCTAGAGGCTACGTCCTACTCTTGAAGTGCTACCTTGTAGAGCAGGAAAGGAACATGACTTCTTTATGAGAGCTTTTCTGAGCAGGGAAGACATTCAGACATGAGTAGACAGAAAACAAGGCAAGGTGAAGTTTATTGAAGAATTCATGACTGTCTTTTTGCGTAGCCCTCGTGTCGACAGAAAAAAAACAACCCCCATCAATTATTAAGTGTCTTTCCTTACAACACGGCGATACAAGCGCTATTTAGTAGCCAGGACTCCCAGCACCTGATGTAAAATAAACAATCTTTGCTGACCACATTGGATATTATCAAAATGGTCTCATATCTCCGATTAATGGAGATTAAAAGGCCATCATTTATTTTTTGGCACAAAGGAATACAGTGAGTAAACAAGTCGGCCAACTGTCTTTTTTTTATTCAAGTTTTTACTGCCAATATTTGGTATCTTTTCAAGCTTTTGTCTTAATATAAACCAGAAGAAAGCTGCAAAAGTGTAGTGACAAAAGAATGTTATATTTAAAATATACATATACATAATGCACCACAACATTTTGGATGAAATCATTCAATTTTCATTCATTCATTATTTATTTATTTTTTTTAAAGCAATCACATCTTTGGTTCAAAGGTATATTTATATTCTGCACAAATACTGTAGATGAGGAAAACACCAGCAAAAGGACAGCTGTGTAGGGCTGCGTCCTACGTATCCTTCCACAGATTTCAAAATGAGTTGTTTGACCGTTCAGAGGAGACTATTTCTCTAATATTCATTGGTGCATCACCATCGTCACCTCGATCACCACAAGAACATTTCACCGTGACAGGGAGAATACATCACCATATCAAACTTTTCATGTAAGGAACTGTAGTTCCTGTAACTCGGCATGAAAAATATAGGCAAGTGCCTCCGGGTGCATGCAAACGCACCGGATTGCTGAACACAGACGTATCGCATTGTATGCCCAAGGCTACGTCTGCTTGGGCTAAAGTTTGAGAATAGAAACATTACAAGGACACCAACATGTGTCACCACCACGTGTCACCCAGGGCAGGAAGACTGACAGACACCGTTGGAAAGTGCCTTTCCCCGTGATAATACATCACCTTGGTGTTTAATGGAAGGGTGTTTTTATGAAAGCGGAGTGAAGCCCAGGCATATTTTGCTTTCAATCAGAATTGGCGATGGTGAGTCAGACACAGAGGTGGGAGGAAAACTAAACTGAGGAGGGAGCCAGGGACGGACGTTGCACTCATCTGAACCGTCTGCCCATGCAGTCAAACAGTTCACCGCACAGCTTGTTTACATGCAAGTGTGTGTGCATGTACTGTATACATTAAGCAGCATCGGGAGAGACTCGACCATACTCAAAAAAGGGAACTGAATTTAAGTTCCTCTTGTATCCTTTGTGGTCTCTCTCTACTCACCTAAACACTTTTGCTGCAAACATCGAATCGGCTGTGTGACCAAAAAGCAAAGGCAACTGCCACCTTGGGCCGATCAACACTATCTAGATGCTAGCAGTCCCATCTTCAAGAGCTACAGGAAGAGAGGGCGTTGCCAGTTTTGTCAAACACTGGGGCTGACCAAAAAAAAAAAAAAGTCATGGAGAAGCTTGTGTGATGTTCATTCAGATCACTCCTCTACCTCAGTCTGTTTTTTTTCTTCACCTCTCAGGGGAGCGTGAACCTCCGGCCTCGGCGTCTGAACAGCAGCGCTAAAACGAGGCAACCCCGTGGTCACACTCACAGGAAACCGAGAAGGCAGACAACCTCACATCCTGCCCTTGAGATTTGGACGAAGCGCTTTGCTCCTCGCAAGGGCACGTATTAAAAGATCTCTCTCACGTGAAGGCAGTGGTGTGGTGCCGAGCGATGAGCGCCCAGATAACGTATATGTCTGCTAAAGGTTTAAAAAGCCTAATGTTGCAAAAACATCAGGTTTCTCTGTTGTGGAAAACAAGCAAACAACAGAACTACAGATCTTTGGAGGGAAATTACATTCACAAGGAAATTACTGATGCCCTTAAGACACACACACACACACACACACACACACACACACACACACACACACACACACACACACACACACAATGGCTATAGGCTGAACCTGAGGTCCAAAGGATTGTTTGCCAACAGGTAACTTCTTTTAACTGCTTTTGTGGTGCTACAGAGACCGGTAGCAAATACATCAATGCGGCTTTAAAAAAAGATTTGCAGAGGCAGACACGAGTCTCTCACTTGTGTCAAACTAGAAAACCCCCCACGTGATTACTCATAAAAAAAAAAAATCTGAAAAAGGGAGGATGTTGTGCATCTTGATCTCACCTTTCAGACTGCCAGTGAAACGGAGAGGCAGCTTTTGACGCACCGATTGGAAGCAGTCTGTTTCGCTAATGTACGACTGAAACCATCCTCCCACTGCTCTATCGCATGCTGAGGAACACCACGTAGATATTTCCCGTACAAATTCCACACGTCACACACTTACAAAAGCCTGCCACGTTTGTGCAGCTGTACAACAATAGCCTTGGAGCTCAGCAGCTTCCCCACTGAAGCAGTCTGTGTTTGTTCACTTCAGTCTCTGCACCCCCCCCCTCACCCTGCTCGCCATCAAGGCTTCTTGGCTGCAGTTTTGGCTTTCCCGTTGGGTCCCGTTTTGATCTGGGTCATCTCCACATCTGTCAGGGCGTCAGGGGGAAGGCACGAGCGCATGCGTTCGATGGTCTTCTGGTGAGCTGCCCTCTCCTGCTCCAGAGAGCGAATCACGTGCTTCATTTTGCTCTCCCGAGACAGGAAGTTCTCCACGCTCGTCTCCAGCGACTGGATCTTCTGCCGCGCTGCCTGGAGGACAGAGATGTCGCGTCTCAGTGAGTACAGGGGTGCGATACAAAGACAGAGGGGGGCTTAGACATCTAGCACAGGAGCTACGGATTCTGAGAACTCCGCTGGAAGTCGGCACTCGTGCGACTTTTTAGCACAAAATCTGATACGATTGATATGATTGTGGTGCATGCAGAATCCAGGCTTTGTGTAATTCACTTGTAAAATGTTGCACTAAGTGTCCACTATTCTTATCTTAGTCACAGCAGATACGAGAGCTGTCATTCTCATTGAGTATTTAACTTGTGTTTCAGTGCCATCTATGGGCGATCTGAGGCATTATCAGTGGCATCAGTGCGGCTCTCCAAACAAATACGACAGAGCCGTTCACCAGTCCATCAAAAGAAGGAATCATAAACTGACCAACAACTTAAATACCTCCCACAGTTACACATCAATTCCCTCAATGAGTAATCATCAAAACAACCAATGTCCTTACAAATTATACAACCAGCATTTGCTGCCGTTTCCCAAAACCCCATTACCACTGATGTGAAAGGTAACAATTGTGGAGTGTGATTTCTCTCTTCCCTACCTGAAGTTTCTCCAGAAGGTCCATGTTCTGTTTCTTCAGCTGCACATTGGTCTTCTCTAGTTTGTCGAGCCGGTCGGAGTCATCGGGCAGCGGCCCGGCTTCTAACATCTCATCCTGCAGGACGTGGTACTCCACCTCGTACGCGTGCAGCTGCTTGGAGATATCCATCTCCATTACCTGGCAAACAACGGGTTACAAAAGTCATCAGTATATCGGTACTGTTAGAAAAGGCAACTGTAAGGTCCAGCAAAATGAGTCTGTATAGTGAGTTTAAAGGGTGAGTCAGTGATTTGAAAGCTTTACATCTTCAGTAGGAACAAATGGGCTTGGGGTTGAGAGCCACATACCATCTGGAGAAGTCAGAAAGTACTGGGAGATGGACTAACATAATGTTGGTTTTGGTATTGTCATGGGCATTGTTGAAAAAACACAAATATACAATACTGCCAACCTTATGCACTATAAATCTGCTGGATAATAATGGCGCAGTTTCAGGTAGGAACTACGGTTGACAGAAAATAAGTCTGTGGCTGATGATTTCTGGAAAGAGATATTGCTGTTGAGTTTTTAAATGTTTTTTTTTTTTGGCGCTTTGAGCACCACAAGCCATATATTCCCCTTATATTGGAGGGAAGGCAGACATCTTTACAGCTGATATCTCCAACAGTAAGTGACCTAGACCAAAACAATCTAGAATGATAAGTAGCACTGCAGATAAAAGGACATATGTATTTTGGGGTATGTGGGGTGTACTGTCTCTTTAAGCTATATGCATCTATAGAAAAACAGTAAAAACAGCAAAGGTATTGGCAGAGTTAGCCGTTACTGTTGATGAGCTATTATTTGAGAGTAATGGGCAGCCTGTTTGTTGTGTGTAGTGTGTGCGTGTGTGTGTGTGTGTGTGTAGTGCGGTTCACAGAGCCGAGATCAATAGACAGCGAGACACAACCAGACGCTACTCCCACAGCTGATTTCAGCGAATCGGTAATAATTTCAAAGAATATCTAACACTCTGATAATGTTCATACTTATCGGAGTGATCCAACTAATACATGTATTCTTTGATTGTTAAACAGAAGCTCATGTTAACCACATTTTCCCGTCACAGCAACAATTTTGTGAGATTGTTGAGATCGAATATTCGACTGCTCCATGTCGCCACTTGTAAAAACACATGGAATCAAAATGCTTTTCTTTGCAGCAAATCTGAAAATAAAAATACTTTTTTTACTTGTATTTTTGATTAGTTATCCAATGCTTTATCTAAATATGCATTCTCGTTGGGACGGTGCCTTGTATTGGGGGTCTTTAACAACGTGGCCCCTCTAAAGACATCACAAGTATCAGGAACGTGTCGGCTTACCACAACGATGAAGTTGCCACTCGTGCAGAACATTTATATTTACATGCGTCATTGTGCCAATCATCATACTATTTCAACTTCCCACTCTGTACCTTGGCAATGGTCTGCTCCATCTGGGTCTGAGTGAGGGCGGGAAGTGTAGTTTTCAGATAGTCCACGATGCTCTCGAAGCTGTCACACTCCACTATCTCCCCCTCATGGCTGCTCAGCAGACAGAGAGCCACTTTGAAGATCACCCCGGTCCCTTGGACAAATATGAAATCTGAAAAGAAACACACATACAAACACCACAATAAAAAGGTTTAACACACTTTTTCCAAAGCCGACATTCTCACAGGGCCAGATGAGCATTTGCGTGTGAGCGAAACACAGCGAGCCATTATCCTAAGAACATACCAAAGACGCGGGACACGAAGTTGAGCGGGAACTGTGAGGCGAAAAGGGTGAGGAACCATGGCGCCGCGTAGAGGCTCGGGCCGATCTCGTGCTCCTCCAAGTGGTTGTACAGGTCGCGGTGGTAGTCGTGCAACAGTCTGGAGAGCTGGTACATCTGAACCTGGAGGACACACAGAGGCAAGTGGGCACGGGCATAAACACACACACACATGTTCAGACAGATGACAAACACACAGAATAAACTGGAATATCTGGATCTGCAGGGAACAGAGCAGTCTGAGAATTATTAGCTGGCAGAGGAACATTCACCCTCGCTGGGAGCTTCTTAAGCAGTACCAGTGTTGCTCTAGAGTCCTGCTCAGACACGCGTCAAGGCCGAGCATTAGAGGGGCTGTGCCAACTACTGCAGTGATACTGTGCCACAGTGAAATGCGCAGACGACAGAAAAGAGAAGCAGAAGTTAGCCCGAGCTAAAATTAGACGGTTATCAGTCTTACAATTTCCTGACGGTTACAAAGAAGACAAGTAATACTTTTACCTCCTCGTGCTGAGCCGCTGCACGGAGATAAACAAAGTCCTCCTTACTTTGCAACCTCTGGAGTTAGTCCTCAAAGAGCAGAGCTGCAGTGTGGAGAGTAACTGCTCGGCTAAATGGTTACCTGCTACGGATTAAACATCACCACGCCTATCGGTCCTTTCACCCCGGCGAGGTCAGCTGATCTTTAACAGAAGCTAACAGAGCAGGCATGCAGGTGTGGCTTGAATAAGAGGTGGAGACACTGGCTACTGTTTGCTGTTGCTGACTAATAACTTACACAAGGCCTTTTACAGCCGGCAGACGACAGCTAAAACTTGAATGTTAAAGTCCAGTGGGTTTGTCACTCCCATGCTGTTCCCAATAGGCCGATGCTGTATGTATGGTATAACATTTAAATTTAAAGCCACAGTGTGGAGTATTATTGTGATTATAGCTCTTTTATTACTACCAAAATGAAATGCTCTTATTATTCTGAGCCCAATCTATTATTGAGAGAAAACTGAAGCAGTCTTTGCCGTTTGCGTCCCTTCTAGTCATAGTGGCTTTAATGTTCAGAGGATTTCATCTTCTGTATGAACACCACTTTATTTAACAGTGCGGTTAAAGCTGTGATTTATTTACCTTGCAGAGGGGCTAGATTTTCATGATGTAATAAGATCAAGCAAGAATCACGGGATCACACTAAAATCCATCTCGTCAGGCTTCAAGTGATGCATTTGTGTCTGCGCCAATCAGAGTCCTTTGATGAGCTACTGGCAGCTAGTGGCGTGGACACGGGACACAGAGAGACGACTGTTTCTTCAAAACAACAATGGCGTCTCCTAAAGATGTTAGCATAGATGCTGCAGTAGCATCAGTTCTATTGGAACTGTTGAGTATTTCTTCTTTGAAAGAAGAGCAAAAGAACGACACTGAAGGTTTTTCTTGATGAAAATAAGTTTTTCGCTCTTCTCCTGACTCGCTTCAGTAAGAGTTTGATGGACAGATGGTTCCTCCAATCCCCTGGCATGTACTTTTTGGAAGTGCCTGCACTTTTCCAAACAGTTTTCAATAACTCCTTCTCAGATGGTTCTGTGTACCAAACCATCTGGAGGGTCAGGTTAGTTAACAGACCAACAAAACCAGGCAGACCTGCCGGACCAAAGGCCACCATACTGTCCCAGGGAGCAGAGAAGAGATAGGAAGCTAACCAAGCTAGGACCTGCGGCTACTCCGTTACCCAGCCTACTGCTGGCTGTCTGATGCCCAGTCGCAAAAAAGAGATACAGTCTATGTTTACGTCATGACGATGGACAATGTTTTTTTTTTTTATGTTGAATTTGTTTTGCTGCTGTTTACAGTCCTTATGATGCAAATTTAAAAAATGCACTACAGGAATGCACTACTGTTTTTGTCTTGTTTTGTTTGTCATGTGTTGTGTCACAAATGGGCTGGAACTGAATTTGGTTGTGCAATAATGACAATAAATGATCCTTGAATCATCAAACAATTTATCGTTCTGATGCTGATCCCTAAATTATCTCGCAGGAATTCAAACGCATTTAAACGACTCCGTAGCTGAAACTGTTCCTCATATTCTAACGGTTTAGTGGACCAGCCAGCCATTCGTGTACTGACCTGGAGAGACACCATGTCGGGTCTGAACTGCTGCCTGATGCCGAGGTCGTACATGAGGAACGTCAGCATGTCAAAGGCCTGTTCTTCGCTCATGTGCAGCAGCAGCACTCCGGCCACAAAGCTGATGCCCTGGCAGTAGCCGACCTGTGTGGCACACACGCACACAAAAAAAAAAAAAAACACAAAATATGTACTACCAATGTCATAATATTCACCACTATGGCAGGGAAAAGAAACAATGTTACAGCATGTACCTCCGTATCCAGCAGAGAATAGGCTTTCAGGAGGTTGTAGAGAGACAGCTGCCCTGCACCCAGCTGGGCTGAGAAGTACTGGTGGGTGGGGAAGGTCCGGCCTGAGAGGACAAAGATAACATTTACATCTGAACATTTACAAAAATAGCTTCTGTGAGCGTTTCAAGAGGAAGGAGGACCCCTTTTTTTTTTTTTTACAACCGTGTGCCCACCTAGATCCACCAGAATAGAATGCTGCTGCGCGGTGAGCTGCTTCAGCAGGTCTTGGTAGGGGGTGTCCGGGGCTTGCTGGCGCTGGGGCAGCCTGTGACGCAGCCGGTGCTGCTGGGAAAGGAGGAGCCAGACCTCCCCACGCCTGCTCTTAGGAACACCTGCACAAAACACTCGTGCTCATTCAATACGTCACACATGCACCGTCGTGTGTTCACAGACACACAAATACACCAGGCACGTCTTCACAACCACCCTTAAAAACACTCGTCTCTCACCTTGGTGGAGAGCGCGACACATCTCCTCCTTGTCCTGTGGGACCGTCGTTCTGCCTGGGGCAGACAGCTTTCTCTCCCACAATGCCTGCGCTTCTTTGGAGCACTGGCCCACTTCCTGGTAGTTCAGCTTCACCTTGCGGATGTGCAGCTCATCCCTGCTTGCTGCAACACAATCAACGGGACAAGAAAAATATTCAACATCATTTTGTCAATTAAGAGTCTCTTGATTGCACCAGAAAATCAAGAGCAAAAGGTACACAAAAGGAGGGCTGTGCTTATAAAACGTGTGTAAAACAGGCTAGTTAAAAGACGGCAGATTTGAAAACAAGTGTGGAAACAGTGCCTCGCGCGTTTTGTCACCAGTTGCCATGGAAAGTCTGCCGTGTAAACACAAAAGCCACAATACCCACATTAACACCAAAGATCCATCTCCATTATGCTGGAGGCATGGAGAGGCTACATCGAGGTAGTGGGATAGAGGTACAACAAAAACACCATGAACCATGTATGATCAGCCCTGAACATGCAAACAAAAGAAGCTGAAATTGAAGGAATATAACAAACCAACACCCGAAATCATGCAAGACATCTATCTGCCTTGATCCCGTGGGCTGCTTTCATATCGCTTACCTTCTATTGAAAAGGGATATTCACAGTTAGGTCCTCAGACCAGCATTGATGTCATGTTAACAAACAAAGGGAAAAAGATGTGTTTGTATACAAATAATATAATATTATATAATCTAGTATAATCTAATTTTATATTATATAGTTTAATCAAATAAAGTAGAGTATAATCTAATACAGTATAATCTAATATAATATAATATATCATAATTTAATATAATATAGTGTAATATAATCTAATATAGTATAATATAGCATAATCTATATGCTATAGTATAGTATAATATAGCATAATATAATATAGCATAATATAGTATAGCATAATATAGCATAATCTAATATAATATAGCATAATATAATATAGCATATTATTGTATAATCTAATATACTATATTATAGTAATAGAATATAAAGGCTATGTCCTCCTTTGAGAGCAAGGCTATTCTTTGTCCATCGTTTGAGGTAGACATGCATAAATCTGACACACATTATGTCTTAGACTTTACCACATTTACAATGTGGGGTTTACTTCACCTCGCTATAAAGATGCCTGTTTATGATAATGCAGTAGCTAATGAAGTGTCCCAAATGGCCTCTACTTCCTCCTCTCCATTCCTCCTCTTGCCCGCTAACTTCCTGTTTAGAGACGAGTGCTTGTGAGGGGAGGAGAGGAAAAAAATGGATGTCTAAAATAAAGTTTGGGATACACCCTTAATAACTTGGGCCATTATAGGGCAATATTTACAAATGCTATTTCAACTATTACTGTTGGTTTTTCCTCATACATGCACCTAAACCCAGTGAGCGCTTGAGTGTGTTTGCATATCTGCATGTGTTCATAACTGCGTGCATATGCAACACCGAAACATTTTGCTCTAAATATAGCCACTGCTCCAGAATCTCCTACCGAGACGGCAACATTCGACCTCTCAAAATAAACGGAGACGACAGCGTGAGGAGGAGCCTTCTATCCTCCGTCCACGCTCGCAAAGCTTCAGCTTCAAGACTGTAAGTGTGAGAGCGTGTGGTGAGGGCTGAGTGTAAAACTTTCATGATTGGGAGGGGGAAATGGGACGGGACTGGAAGTTCCCACTGTAATAAATATCTTAACAATACGACCCAGTGTGAGCCGGTTTCAACAAGAACAGCCCCGTGACGATTCATAAAATACCTCCAGTGTCTGCAGCGAAACAAATACACTAAAGATTCCTCATATTTATCCCTCATGTGACCAAAGGAAGCATTCGTCCTAGGGGCGATTATCATACTTGTGAACAGCAGTAAACGCAACTCACCCTCCAGTCTCTGGTTCTCATTTTCCATGCGCAGCAGCAGGATCTGCTGGTGGATGGCCGTCTTCCAGAGGGCCCGGTAGTCAGCCCCCGTCCTTTTAGGCCTCTCCCCGGACAGGGGGTCGCCCTCCAGCAGCAGACGCCCCAGAGGGTCCAGACCTGAGCCCGCACCGCGAGGAGAGAGGGGCAACAGCTCCCTGCCGTCACAGTAGTCTGAAACAAAAAAGAAAATGCATCTTTTTAATGTCTCAATATTTTATATGAACCAAATGACAGTGTGTGCTATCCAAGTTTGTGAGGCTAAGATGTTGCTAATGCCCTGGATCTGGAGATAATCCGCTGGCTACGTGTTTAAGCGCCCTTGAGTATGAAAGACCATAAAAGGCAAGAAGACAGGCCATGAGAACAGGTAGGAGGATCACTTTCACAAGCTCCGTTATCACCGTTTATCTGACAAGGAGGGAGTGGGAATATTCCCCTTTCCTCTCAGCCCTTACTGCTTTCCCCATCGACACATGCAATGTAAAAGTCAGAAGTGTCCGAATTTTCCACAAGAATCAAATGTCCTCATTTTCTATGCGCGTGTGGATTATTCAGAAGCGGACTGAGGGATTGTGTTACCGGACCTGGGTGCTGCATCGAGGCGGGCTGCCTGTTCATGGGCGAGGCGACCCTCAGGAAGATCTTCTGTCTCCAGGAGACCCTGCGTGGGGTCGGAGGGAGGCCCCCACTCACCGAGTCTCCGCTGCAGGTGGACAGGGTCCTCTTCCTGCCTTCCCCATTGCTACGAGAGAGAAGAGCAGCATCACGGACGCCCGACAAACGACTCTCTTTCATCAAGTTTTTACACACACACACACACACACACACACACACACACACACACACACACACACACACACACACACACACACACACACACACACACACACACACACACACACACACACACACGGTTCCCATCAGCAAACTCTCTGAGCTGATGAGAAATGGTCCAGGTGAAGATTAAAATGACTGATGAGGAAACCATGCACCGGGCATTGACCGATTCCCAATGTCCATGTTACTGTTAGGGCAAAAGGTAGTGTTGTTAGGTAAGATCAGCCACACAGACGGCCACAGCTGAGGCGCATGCGTGCTCGTTGCTTTTCTGGAAAAATACTTTTTGTTAGTGGAGAAGAAAAGCTGGTTACTGAGCTTCTGGACAGCTTCATGTTCGCCGTTTCAAGTTATTCATGTTTCACATTTATCGGAGCCATAAATTCACACCTGCCAACAACCAGACAATGGGAACCGTGTCTGTAGGGAATTTGGCAGGTTCTAAAAAGGTCCTGTCTTAACAGCGTTATTGCGTAACAACTACAATAAAGTGCGTACTCGTATGTGGAAAGTTCACATTTGAGCATGGAAAGTGCATAAAAAGGTGGGTGAGATGGAGCGCAGCATAATGATGCATGATGCCATTACCAACACAACATATTTAGTCCAATAGCAGCAGAAATAAGGACATGTCGATATTCTTTTGCAGGTTGGGTTGTTTTACTTCAATAACTAGTAAGGCTACTCTACATACATGTGAAATGAACGTGATAATGTAGCTCTCTGAAATATTGCAGCGCATTATGCATTGCAGTTTCTGAGCACCAGTGCAATTAAAAGTTACGCATTCATTATATGACCTATTGGATTTGTACCGATACATTTGAAATCCTGGCACCCACGTTTTTGTTTTTAAGTGTTTTTTTGTTCAGAGTGAACGGTACATTTACACACCGAAGCTGTTGAATGTGAAAACGGAATGTCAAGAACTGAAGTGACAAGGACAAATTACATTTCTCCTCCGTTAAAGAACCAAGCTCTTCGTGCCACTTGTCAAGGATCACTCGACAGCTACAGCAGTTAACAAGCTTGGTCAGCGCGGCGGACGCCCGCCTCATCGTGTGCACAGTGGAAAAACAGGAAGTGACCTTTGTTGAAACAAAGGTCAACGAGACCAGGTTGTTTACTCTCTCAGCTGTTCTGCACACATCAGATTAAAATTCCTCACTCGACACATTACCTCTTATTATGTTTTCCTGCTCGTAAAAGCCACAAAGTAAAAGACAGCACTGGGGTTAAGCTATCTAACAGTGCAACAGATAGAGCGATCTGTGAATATGTTGGCATATTCGCATCTAAATACTCTGCATTTCGAGGTGTCTTTCAAAAAGGTGTCTTTTGAACCTGCTCTTTTTTTATTTATTTAAATAATCAATTGCATTTTGCTGCATTATCAACAAAAGCACTCAGAGGATTGGAGGAGGAGGAGGAAAAACATCCTGTGGAAATGCCATTTTACAATGCCTGCTCCACTGAATCTCATTCATAATGCAAATGTTGACCTTTACTTTCTGCCATGCAGACACCTGCTAGACCGTGTCAGCCGCGTGTCTTGCTTTCCTCGAACATACAGATTAGTGCAGCTAAACATTAACAGCAACCTTTCAAAGTAAGTAGGTCGCTGAACTGAGTCGGCGTGATGCTTAAGAGTTCCTGAAGCATCGTGGGTGGCACTGGTCAGGACAAGGTGATGTGTGGTTAATAAAGGCTGTAAATCCAGAGTAAATCCAGTTTTGCTGTGCAAAAAAGTCTGAAATCCACATGCAAATACAACAAGAGAGGATATCAGCATCCCCTTCTAATTCTGAGAGAAATAGGAAGAGAGAGGGGGGGTCCAGCTGCAGAGACGATGGCGGGAATAAAAGGAAACAGCTGTAAAGTATTTTTTACTATTAAAAAGGTTGCTGTGGATAAACAAAGTATGAAAATACAGGGACAGAAAAAGCTGGGTGTTAAAAGGTTTGGACAGCCAACACGTACATACGGCTACTGCCATCCCAGCAAAGACCCGTTTGCCCCTCCCGCCCCTTGGTGGTCTGGGTATAAGTAGGGGGGGGATTTTGTCTGAACGCACCCCCCCCCCCCTCTCACCTCTTGAGGCTCCCGCTGTCTGCCAGGGAGCTCAGGGAGCCCTGGTAAATGCTTTTCAGGAAAGTGGGGGCAGAGAAGGAGGAGGGGAGGCCGAAGGTGGACTCGCTCTCCGAGACGCTGCGCGTTCTCGAGACGGCCACGGGACTGGGCGAGCCAAACATGAGATGCCCACAAATACAAAAAAACAAAACAAACATCACACAAAAAGAATGAGATTTTTGGTGGGAGCACAGAAACACGCCGAGGAACACATGAGGGGATCAAAACAGTGACAGGAAACTTGCGACGCTATTGTTCAGGGATAGTGCAGCGGGAGGTGGAGAGAGCACTGCAAATAGATTACATTGTTTGAGTGAACATCCAAGGTTAACTCAATATTTAGTTAGCGTTAAAACGGATTCAAAGAAAAGCAACAGGTTCTGATTTTCTGATCAAAAGTTAGCATTAAATATATAGTCAAACAAAACACAAAAGCTCACTCCTGGAGAAGCTTTTTAGCGCAATTCACCCTGTGCAAAACATCCACTCCTGCAACATTACTAAGAGATGCATACTGTCCTTTCTCCCATGGGTTCGAACTAGTAAGGCCGGGACTGACTAGCATAAGTTACCTGCTCTGCAGCAGCTCGGGGTTAACAGACTGCTGTCTGCGCAGCGGAGGCTGTCTGCTCAGGGCGGCCGGCTGGCTCTCGAAGGAGATGCGTTTCTTCACAGGTGGATGGCTGAAGGTGTGGGCACGCCGGCGGAACTGCAGGCCGGCTTCCGGGTCGCCATCGCCGTCGTCGGGGAAAGCGGGAGGGGAGCCCGGAGGGGAGTGACCGGGCGATTCCTCATCCTGCTGAGGGGGACCGAATGCGAGCAGCAGAAATAAGTCAGTACATAGATGAAAAAAAACAGTTATGTACAGTTATGAGACTTTCTAATTATATGTTAAAGCACGGTTGGATTTTCTGATGTGTCTGACTGCACAGCTGGATGACAGAGTGAAACAGTGACACAGTGGTGCATGATAACAAAGTCCTCTAAGATATTCTGCATAGCTACGCAGATCAATAACCTAGGTTTAAGAAGCAACGAGTAATAATCACATTAAATACCTTTGGCAGGCAAACCACACACTGCTAGTAACCCTGTTCCATAAATAAATAACACCACCCAAAATACTCAAATTACAGGCACTTACCTAGCCAGCGTAAAGCCAAACAACCAACGTTCCACATTTAACTCTCCACTCAACACTCCGAGTTGCCTCCCGCCTGGCAGCACAACACCCATATCTATTGTATTCTAATGGACAGCGTCCCGTGACTCACGGCCTCACACACTGATTGGTGGGGAGGACCGGAATGGCTCAGCTCCACATGAAAACCGTCCAATCTCCCTCCCTGCTCTGACAGACCTCCCTCTCTAAGATCTGACATGGCAGGAGATATTTAGCAATATTTGTGCTGCTTCTTTCAATGTCACTCTCTCCAAGGTCTTTGCACCGCTCATCACATTGCAGGTTTGAAAAGGTCTTTCGGCATGTTAACCCTGTGTAAATCATGGCAGATGTCAGCTGACTGGCTGAATTTTGATTGGTAGATAAGATGACGTGACTCAGCGGATCAGGGTGTCGCGTCGTGCTGTCCTATGACAGGGGAAAGGAAGGCGGGGGTAGCCAGGACGGGCATGGCTCAGCAGAATCACAACTGGACATCCTGACTTGAATTTCCTGCTCGACATAAGCATCCTGACAAAATCCCCAAATCACAGGGCAAACAACACCCTTCAGACCGTCACTGATGTCACAAAGAGGGGTGCAGGTGAGCCTTAAAATAAGACGCCAGATTCTCCTTGCACATCATTTTACATTGAACAACATACAACTTATGATTTTGTCCTCATAAGTAGGGTTGTCTGTGTCATTGTGATTTTAACTTATTGAACAGCCGGTATTGGTGGATTTGCTGACATGGCCTCTTGACGGCTGATTTAATGTGAATAATTTCCCTCATTTGGCCTTCCATACTTACAGTAAATCTGACGGGATGACATTATTGATGCAACAGGTAAAGTAAGTCAAATGCGGAGGGTCTATATTTAATATCTCCGTGCGCTAAATAGGATGAGCACCATGCGCTTAAAGGAGAACTCCACCGCTTTTACACATCAAAAGCACTTTACAGGTCTCGTTGAGTATTACTTGACATGTGAAAAAAAGTGGTGTAAAGCCTTTTGTGGCTCCAGTAAGAAGCTACGTGTAATCTGATGAATTGCCTCTTGTGACGTCACTTGAGTCAGCGTAGGTTGGGTCTATAGACTACAAGTTTGAGAATGAAAATGACATTTTTGAGTTTTTGAAGTAGAAAGAAGTGCGCTCACCAGACCTCTGTAGCCTGCTCATCATCTCTACATTAGCCGTTATTGGTATAAAACACTCAAATCTTCGCCTGAACTATAGGCACTGGTGTTGCATTGTGGGTAGTGTAGACGCAGGTTGACACAGACAAAGTTCTAACTGCCAGCCACATGCAAATAAATAATTTATTTGCAGTTGCAAAAAGACGGGAACTAAATTTAGAGAGGGTTTCAATGCAAAAATGTCATGAAGCAAGCAGGCATTTGGTTTTCTCATGTCACAGATGGAGTTAAGTGAAAACTAGAGTTACCCATAAACTGTATATAAAAAGTGGACATAGTCATCGTGACATCACCCATTGGTGTGTGAACTGCCATTTTGAAGCCTTCAGCGTTTTGTAGGGTCATTTTCTCATAGACTTCTATACAACCAGAGGAGTCGCCCCCTGCTGGCCATTTGAGAGAATGCAAGTTTAAGACACTTCAGCATTGGCTTCACTCCTTAGAACCGGAGGTTGCCGCCTGGTATAACCACCTCGTGGTTGTACACTTCCGCCAACCAGTCAAGTTCCAATTTACATCCATGTCTGTCCAAAAAGTCATCACTTTAATATCTTATCATATTAGACATGCGTGTGATTTTTCCATAAATGGCATATAAATTCATGAGTTATGGTGTAAAAAATGTGTTTTATGAGGTCACGGTGACCTTGAACTTTGACCTCCAAATTCTAATCAGTTCATCCTTGAGTACGGGTGCCAAATTTGAAGAAATTCCCTAATCCTGAGATATCGCCTTCAGGAGAATGGGACGGATGGATCCTTTGTCCTTTAATCCGTCCACTGTAACTCCGACAATGTCCCAGGGGTGCGATGCTAACAGCAGTGGAGCAACTCCATCATGACTGATGGGGAGTCAGAGGGACGACATCGCACACTCGCTCCACATTCTGCACAGCGGTGAGCAGACAACCCCAAATGGTCCACTCCCTGCTGTGCTGTTCGTCTTTTGGCCAGTGCAGCTGCATGATGAGATGTGGGAATAATATTCTCCACGTGAGAAAAGAACTGTTGGCCGCCTCCAGCTAGTGACACTTACAAAAGTGAAAGCCTATCATGAGGACAGAGATGGAATATAACATCCTTTTAAGAGCCACTGGGTCAAAAGTGAGAATTCCCAGAGCCCCTCGAGTGAAGTTCTGGGAATTCTCTTGTTAACCCCTAGAGGAACACTTACCCTTTCGAAACTGCTGATGCTTCCCATGCTTCCCAAACGGCCCCGCATCCGGCTGGCACCCTGGGGACATAGGTGATGACACAATATAAAACAAGTTCTGAAAGAACAAATGCATAAATGAAAACATGTTTACACAAAATGTACCAATCGCTCACGACAGAAGGTGCCGTTTGTATTTTCAAGAAGGGAGTAAAACATGAATCATAATGAACCAACACTTCCTGACTTGATAATATTAACATGTCAGCGCTGAGCTAAGTTCTCTGAGACAATAACAGATGGCAGCAGAGGTCTCAGATTGCCTGGATCCCTCTACTAAGGAATTATTCGGCTGTCTCACTGGCAGATATGGATCAATCCAAATGCCCTGGATGACAATGACACAGAAACGGCAACTGATACAGAGAGAGAGGGAGAGCAGAGAGACACATAAAAGGTAGACAACACAGTGGCCACATTCTGTCTGGTGGGCGGAGAATTAAGATTCAGAGATTCAATTTAGAGACAGAGAGGACTAGAATCACCGTGTCGCGGTTGTACGTTTCCGCCAACCAGTCCGGTTGCAGTTTACAGCCACGTCTGTCCAAAATGTCATCACTTCATCATTTTATCCTGTTTGACATTTGTGTGATATTGTCATAATTAGCATATCAATTATTGAGTTACGGCCAAAAGCATGTTTTGTGAAGTCACAGTGACCTTTGACCATCAAATTCTGATCAGTTCATCCTTCAGTCCAAGTGGATGTTTTTTTTGCCAAATTAGAGGAAATTCCATCCAGGTGTTCCTGAGATATCGTGTTCACAAGAACAGGACCATAGTCTGTATATAAGACGTGGACGTAGTCACCGTGACGTCACCCATTGGTTTGTGGACGCCGTTATGAAGCCTGGAGTTGGGCGATTTGGCCGTTGCCATCTTTGCTTTTTGCAATCAGTGAAAGGAAGTTACCATATTTGAATTGCGAAGGAGTGACGTAGAGACGGCTCCGGTAGCGACCTGTCAATCACAAGGTTGGCCTGCCCTAAAACACTCTCTGCTTTATGATTCATTTGTCTCCAAATGAATCATAACTTACTAAATGAACATGATGCTGTATTGAAGACGACTTGAAACTAAAGATTAAGACCATAAACTCATGTTTACTGAGGGAATAAATCAAGAGAGAAGTAGAGTCATTACTCAGACTTCTATAGAATTAGACTTCTTTTTGCAACCAGAGGAGTCGCCCCCTGCTGGCCATAATAGAGAATGCAAGTTTAAAACACTTTCGCATTGGCTTCACCCATCAGACCCGGAGGAACGGGACGGACGGAGGGACAGATAACCCAAAAACATAATGCCTCAAGCAAAGGCTATTGCCGGTGAGGAGGCATAACATAACCTTTGATGAAATAACAGCAGAACATTGAATTAAGATAGAGACAGGGGCAGAAAAGAAAATGTGTCATAAAAGAAAGACTCTTTCTTGTGACCCACCCTTGCGAAGATGTTCTCCAGGGAGCTGGTGAGCGAGGTGCGAGCTTTATTCTTGAGGATGTCGAGTTTGAAGCGACTGCTGGCGGCCGTGCCGTCTCCTGCCGATGAGCTGTTTGATGCATTCTGTCAGACGATGACAACGGGCAGAGGAACGGGAAACAATCACAGAAATAAAAAAATGCGTGACTGTCAGTGTGAGCCTTCAAAACAGACTCTGTGAGCATACAGTAGCAAAACCACACGGCCAAGAATAACACTGGATGTGTTGACTGGTGTTCTGCCATTTTAATTTACTATTTAACATACAGGCGCTCAGGCTACATCATGCTAAAGTAAGCATCCACTACCCTTTCATACTTCCATGGCACACTTTCCCTGCAGAAACTTCTTGAATGTAACAGCCAGTCAATTGATAACCGGCTTAGTTCTTTGTAGGAACATTATACTGTGATGACCTTAACACTTAAGATGGAAATAAAGAGCTGAAAAGGTTTGGCATCAAAAGCAGCCATCGGAAGTTTCCCAACATGTTCTATGCAACCGTACCTTCACTCACAGAAAGGTTGCTTTACCAACAGAAAAATAACCTGTTTGACTGGAATCCAAGGGCTCAAACTATCTTGTTTTGTACAAACATGTCTATTTTTTTTATCTTTTCTGTGGCCTTGTCTATTTAAAACTGCTGCTATATTCACACAAAAATCCAAAAGAGAACCGTAGGACAATAACTACTTGTAGACAGAGAGGCCCAGAGGGCTGAGACAACGCGAAATTCTTTTCTTTTCTGCAAATAAAACCAAATTATTTTTTAAACCTTTCAGCGCTAAAGTGACTTTTCTCAAATTTCAAGGCTGTTAAAGGCCCTTGGAAATGTTTTAGGCATTCGCACTACTACATTTGATTTAGATTTGAGTGAAAATGTGTTTTCGTCTCTCTAGTGAAGCTAAAGAAATCAAATCTGTAACTATGATTTCTTTTCAGGGTCTACCGGTTTAAGTATCTACCTGCGGGGCCTCTCCGATGTGGAGGTGACTCTTCTGTTTGGTTCCACAGAGCTGCCTCAGATGGAGAACCACCAGCTCGTTCTCCTCTTGGTCCGACCCGGGCTTCAGTCTCTGCAGACATGGATACACAAACACTCAAAACACAAGAAGGAAAAAAAGCACTGCTTTGAAGCAGTCTTTAAAAATCAATCACAAAAAATCAACTGTCAATATGTCACAAATTTCAGATCAGGCGTGCAGAGCTAACCTTACCTGAACTCGCTCAAAAATATCTGCCTGCTCATTGTCAGTCAGCTGGGAGAGATATTTTTGGATAGCTAGCTTTGCTCTGGGTGGGTAGAGACCTGGGAACAGAATAGGAACTGAGAATTAGAGCCCTTTTGTGTCGTGTGAACTCGGAGAAACTGACCACGCATCGACACATTTATGACTCAAGCCGGAGGGAGTGACTGAGTTCACGCGGCTCACCTTCGATCCGCTCGCAGAGCTTGTGCAGGTCATGCATGGGGCAGGCTTCACATAGCTGGATCGGGGTCTTGTTGCTCTGCAATGCCGCTGCTGTCGTGAAGGCCTGCTTCAGGGTCAGCATCACCTCATCCACCTGACGTACGCGGTATAAAGCGGGGACGAGACAAGCACGCACACGCAAGGACAGCACGGATTAAAATACAAGTATCGGGTTGAGAGCGGAAGCTGAAGTGGCGTTTTGCATGACTCACCAGCGACTCGCTGGCACACTGGAAAACATAGCACACATACTGACTGGGACCAGCCTCGGACTGGTCGCGACCGATGAATCCAAAATGGTCGGACTGCTTGACACCCTGCGTCACATTTCGAGACAAACGGGGAAACTAGAATGAATCACGGCAAGGGAACACCACACGTTTAGATCTTTGCATTCAGTTTGGCGATACAAATCATCGAGCTGCAAGTTAATAAAACAGCACATGTCTCAGATAGCATAATGGCTCTTTACAGCCACCATTTACGTTTTCCATTAGGTTAGTGAAATGGCCAATTTGCTCACGCTAGACAGTGCATTATCTTTATCCTGGATGTCTGTTTAAAAAAAATGGGATTGCAATGCGCTGTTAAAAAAAAAGAAAAGAACATATTTCTACATCACTGATGAAGACGCCAGAATTAAATGAAAAATAAAAAGGCCTGCTGGGCTGTAAAGGAGGGCAGTAATGCATTAATGTCCACAGAAGAAATGCATCAAATTAGTCTGAGCTTATCTTATTGCTGGGGCCGCAGCAGAGACAGAAAATTGAGGCTTTTAGTGTAAATGCAGCGAGTAAAAATAAACCAACCTGACAGCACGATGAGATATCTTTGAAGTTTTTCTCCAGCACCACTGTTTTACTGTCCGGACTTATGAGATTCACTTCAAAACGCCCGACCTGCGAAAACACAAAAGTATATTCAGACAGATTCATGTGAGACCACAAAACAATATCACCACACCGTTTCTACCCGAGTCAAAGATAATCTCAGTGTCAACCGTTCTGAGACCCGTTCAGTGACACACATAAAAGCACACTCTCAAAATCGAGGTCAACAAGTCTGCACCAATGATTTTTCCCACAATTGACTGCTATGTGGAATATCATATTGAGCGTTGTGCTCTAGTTTTTAAAATTAGCTTCGTGAGCAAATGGACATGGTGTGTGAGGAATGGCAGCTGGCTCGCTCCGTAGGCCGCATACTTCCCGCAAAGCGGCGGTTTACGCAGGAGTTACGGCCTCTTTAACCGGGGCTGCGACAGAGGGCCGATGCCAGTCGCTGCAATATTACGGCCAGCCACGTGCACAGAAAGATGACTTGCAGTAGCAAGAGGCTGAGAATTAAATAAAGAGAGGGTTACAAAATCCAAAAATGACATGAAGCAAGCGGGCCATTTGGGTTTCTGGTGTCACAGATGGAGTTATGGGAAAACTAGAATTACACAAATTAGAAATAAACCGGCCAAGTTGCGGTTCAGATCCACGCCTGTCCAAAATGACATCATCTTATGCTGTTAGACGTTTGTATGCAATTGTCATATGAATTCTTCAGTTGAGGACAAAATTTTATTTTGTGAAATCACAGTGACCTTTGACCTCAAATTTGAGTCCAAGTAGATGTTTGTGCCAAATTTGAAGAAATTCGCTCAAGGCTGTATACAAAGGATGTATATTTAGAGTCCAATAAACCTAACGTCCACTGCAAATAGTAAAAAGTGTTAAAACAGCTCAGTACAAAAGTCCATTTATACTATAATTAAAATATAATGGACCCCTGGGTCCTGGCCAGGCCCTCGGGTACAAACTAAGCACTCAACAACAAAGCAGCTATCTTTTAATGTGAGTACATTGCCGTTACGATAAAGCTCCTCAGTGCTGAGTTTTACCAGCTCCAGTTATCTGGTCTCGGAGATAAGAAACCCCCGAGCCGATGCACTATTTCTGAAACCAAGACATCAGCATATCACATCATTACTTCTCGTGGAGGTCGACTGCACTGTCACATGTCCTCTACCTGGAAGAGCATGGTGCGGTTCTTGTCCGAGTCAGACGGCTGAACGTGGTTCGGAGCGCTCGAGTGTCTGCGCCGCACAGGGCCCAAGATGACGCCTTCCCCCGGCTTCCTATGCAGGCTCCCGGCCAGGCTGCTGCAGCGCGTACGGAACTCTTGGGGCTCCTCGAACCCGGAGTCCTCCAGGATGCACTCGGGGAACGCTCCCCGCAGGCTGCTCTGACTGGCACTGTTAGACAGGCTTTTACCTGAGACATACGGAGCAGAGCCACACGTGGCTGTTTATTTACATTCACAATATTTTAGTCGCTTTTCTAATTGGTGCATAGGTCCACCACATGACCAACCAGAATGCAGCAGTTTGTCATCCAGTTTAATCAAATATTCATCTAACGTTTTCCGTACTTGCATGCAATAATGAGAATAATACAATTAGAATACATACTAACTAGCTCCACGATGCAAGAGAATAACAAGGCGTTTAATGAGGTAATAAATCGAGTGAGAAGTAGGGTCATTTTCTCCTGTACAATCAGACTTGTTTTTGCAACCAGAGGATTCGCCCCCTGCTGGCAATTAGACATTAGACTTGACAGGCGTAGCCACAATAACTAAGGGGTGCAGGGCTTAGCGAACGGTTAATTGTGTGCGGTAAAAATCTGAGTGAAGCTACTTGCAGATTCAGCTTTGAGCGGTTGTTGTGCTCATGCTAATCCCGAATCGGCATGAGGCTCTCACCTCCACCTCCAGTCATGTCCTCCACTCCGGGGCCTTCCGTGTATTCTATACTCTCATCCAGAGCAGAGGAGAGGGGGTCTCCTTCTCCCCCAATGAGTAACTCCACGGGGGCACCCTCTGTGGACCCTTGCCGGCCGCTGACCAGTCGCAGGCGCTTGCGCTCGACCTCATGCAGACGAAACTTGTCGATGCAGTCATCGATGAGGGTGGCAGGAGCCTTTTTGAGCAGAACTGTCACCTGGATATTTTTTATAAATTCAGCTGCATTAATACAATTTGCCTAGATAAAATGGAAAAACATTTCATAAGTAAGGCGCTCATACATCTCTACCTTGCCACAGTAAAGCACTTCAAACTTCTGGGAGTTGTAGAAGGCCTCGTCGGCTTCCTGTTTGGGCTTGGCGTCTTCCTTTAAGGCTGATTTGGACACTTGGCGAATGCTGCTGATCACCTCAGGGACCTGTAAGACAGGAGAGAGGACCGAAGGTATATGACAAATAGGAAGACATTAACGAGGAAAACTGTAAAACAAAGGAGGAAAGGGAAGCGAACTGGAGCCAATCGTAAGATGTTTTTCTCTGCAGCTCTTCCTTCACGACTGCACACAGGAGAATAACATAACAACACTACTGAGATGGACACAACATCATTTGCAAAAACTCTTTTAACTCAAAAGACACCGTTTGAGAGTTGTTTCTACTTCCTATAATGTTTAAAATCACATCATAATCAATGCAGGGTTTGGGGACACACGTGTAGACTAAATACACAAAGAGCAGTCAAAACAGAACAAGTAAGACTATGTTTGGCTGACACTTGCAGTTCACACAAGAACATGTTTGGATTAACAAATACCATGACCTGACTTCATGTGACTTTAAAAAAAAATATTTGAACTAACTAAGGCTAGTCAACAACAGACAGACCAAACACCACATCAGTAACAGAAGTAGGTGAGGAGACAGGAAACGCCCACACTCTATGGGAATGAGAAGACAACAAAGAGCTGGCAAGGAGTGGGTGTGTATGTGTGTGCGTGAGGCAACTGCACCTTGTTGTCCTGCAGAAAGCAGGATGTCCGTTTTCGGTAACTTGCATCCAGGAAAAACAACCAAACAAGTCACGACAGAAAATGTACGTCTTTCAAAGCGCACTCTTACGCAATACTACGGAATTCAAAAGGCAGTTCATCATTCTGTCATGAGGCACTTTTACAATCAAGTTTTCATTCTTTTTGGCAGAGACAATGGGACTGACAGCACCCCCCCAGCTCACTAAAAAGCGAGACCAAGGGCCACAGTGAAGGTCAGTCACATACTCTGGTTAAGACAACAATGAGCGCTAGAACAAACAGTGGCTATCTGATAAGAGTCGCCAACTGACTGTTGAGCAAATACATTTATTATGTAGACTGAGGAGGGAAGTTATGTAACAAAATGAGTCTTACAGCAGAGGTGTGACCAGAGCCACAGGAGAGCAGCGAGAGGGCAGGCAGAACAGGAAAGAGCCGATTGTAAACAAAATACAAACGTCCTGCTTTTTATGGAGGCCAGTTTATGTATGAGACACTGGAGGGATCAAAAATGCCATGCTGCTGCTGTGGCCACATGAGCTATTTTAAAGTCCCGTTTTCCAACTGCCTGCCTTCCCGAGGCGGTAGAGCCGTGCGTGGCTGGTGACAGAGGGCTGCATTGAGAGGAGGAAGAAGGGCAGGTGGTGGGTAGTTGTTCATACCTGCTCAGCCATCTGTTCACTCGAACAACACCGACCTGTGTAATTGTCATCATATCCGCCAGGAGGATCATGCGATCGGTCGCAAGTATGTGTGCACCTCTACATCTGTCCACAGCTATTCTCGCATTGTGCTACAGCAAACAACACAATATTTCGGAGAGCCAGTTACGGCTGTAAGCTCAAGGACGTCTGGCTGTTGAGGCAACTCAAGCCTTCTCAAAAAAAAACACCTTTTATTGCCCATTTCATAATTGCCATTCACTGCCAGCTGACTCCTCACTCACTCTTCTTAATTGGCCCCCCACACAGCTAAGTGCATCTCCAAGGTACAGTTGTTCACTTGTTATTGTTACAGCTGGGCTGTGCAACGAAATGCAGTTAGCAGCCCCATTTTGTTACATTAAAAAAAATACACAAAAAATACATTCGTAAAACTAAATGAAATTCTGGAATCTTTGTAAAATGTCAAAGCGAGCACATAAAAATACCTTTGTCGGGGGGAAAAAAAGCATTGGCCAAAGCAGTGCTGACACTAAAAGGTCACGGTAATTCAGAGGCCTTGGTGGCTGCGAATCACAGCTGCACTGTCTGATCTGTAAGGCCTGTGTAGGAATAAAAAAACCTAACAGCACCATCTTAACATGTAAGGGCACTGCTGGATTATACATGAGTAACATGACGCCACAGCACCATTTGATCTGATTAAATATTTGTAGTCAACCTAATACAGATCCAGGAAAGGTGCTCAATCCTCGGGTGGAGACAGGCACAGACAGGCAAAGAGGGAAACCCCCCCCCCCCACGGAAACCTATTCAAACATAGCCTCCCACTCTTACACTCCTTCAAACTGCTTTTTACATCCAACCTTCACTCATCATTGCCTGGCTTTATCAAACAATACATGTGATCCAAAGCCCGTTTAAACAAACAGCAGCAGCTTTAGAGCTCAGGAGAAAACTAACACGAGGATCGTTTCCCTCTGAGCTGGTGGAGTCCTAGGGCGCTCTCACGTCATGTCAAACCAACAGTCGCCCTTAATAATAGCAGGTCAAACAGTAGCAGGCCACATAGTTCTGTTGCCCTTATCGGCACCATTAAACCAAACTGGTGACCCAACACACTTGCACACACCATCTGCAATTAAGCCTACTTAAGACTTCTTTTAGAGACACACAGGTTATCATTGCGTCTATGTAAGATACGGACAGAAGTAGACAGAGACCTGGGAGGTAGTTCCCCATGTCAGAACAGAAGCAATTCCAAGATTACAGGCTTTTTTTTTTTACGTTGAAAGTAATAACTGTAAGTTCTTGCAAATTTACTCAAAATAAATAAATCCAATAACAGCAATTTGTTCAAACTTCAAATGTTCAACCCCAAAAAGAAACACTGAAACAGAAACCAGCTCATGAATCTGCTGTTGCTTGTATACAACCTGGATAAATACTGTTGCTTTAAACATAGCCGTCTTTGTGTGGCGGGAGCTCTCCAAGGATTGGTTCCAAAAGGCAGCTCACTGTTTTCACCACAGCCGTCACGTCCTCCCAGTGCTTTTCCATCTGCCTGAACACAAACCGGGCACTGTAGTGTAACTAAGTTCATGTCCCAACTCAACACGAAGGCTCTTAACATAGGCCAAGAAGCTCATGTCATAAGGGAATATCACAATGTTTCAAGAGAAATTAACTCTACTTTACATCCTCCCGTGTCTTTAGCATGTCATAACAGTACGACGTCAGAACAAATGATAAATGATAAAATGATCTGGGGCAGTGAGCGCTCTGTTATGTTTACTCTCACATTGTGCATACAATCAAACAGTTACATCATGTGATTTGCACAGACAAACCAATGTATTTTACAGCTATAAAAAAAAAAGAAAGAATCAACTGAAAAAAATGGAGTCAGCTGACTCTTGAAGCATATGGAGGTAAAGGCAGGAAACATTTCCAAGCATGCAAAGCTACTTCTTTACAATATAATGCATCCTCACTTAGATGTAACACTTGTCAACATATGAATAAAGTCAAATTTGTTCCCAATGCACTGCAGATTAAACACTTTATCATCAATCATGAAAACCAAACAAGAATGTAGTTTCTCATTGTGCAAGAAATGTGACCATGATCGCGGCAACCTGGCCTGACCGGCTAACCAAAGCGAGCACAGGTGTGACTCAACAAGTTTATCAACACCTCTCAATAGCAACGAATGGGAAAAGAAAGTCATGATTTTTTTTTGTATCATTTCAAAATACAGTTGGAATTACAGAATGAAGTTTCCTAAATACTGATTTAGACTTCTACAGTATAGGGCAGTTAAGTAAGTCAGTCTTGTGTCCCACTATCGCAACGTGTCGCAGAATGATCACCAGCACCCACAAGACAACAGTGAGAGATTCCACTGTGGTCCAGGTCCAAGTGGGAGCGGAGGTGGAAAACACACAGGCCTGTGGTCTACACTGAGCAGGCTCTGGCTGTGTACTGCTGCCTTGATAACAGCACAATGGAGATGAGTTGAGAGTTAAATTTGAGCATGCTGTCATGAGTCTCTCACTGGGGACATAAAGGAGTGTCCCAAACTGTGAGGCAAGTAAAACGCTACAATCGAACTATTATGTGGAGCCTGTTGTCATGGATACACCAATCAAGAGTGCAGCGATGACCAAGTAATGCCAGACTGGCTGCACCTTATGCTTAACCGCTAACGACGGCATCAAAACCCTTTATAATCCATGGGGACCAAAGTTGCATTTCAAGTCGAGGAGGTTTCAAACATAGGAACACACACACAATATGACATTCCATGTGTATTCATATCCCTCGTGTTAAAACTCCATTTCTTCCTCCCACTTGTACAAATTCTACAGAGCCAGCTAAGCTTTGCTAAGCTTCAGGACACCACGAGCGTCGATTCATTTTTAACCTTTCACATCGTATCGGTAGATGCCAGGGGTCTTTCCTGAGGCCTCGTGCTAAGAATAGATTTAAAAATAAAACATGCCTGTCACTCCAAAACAAGGCAAAGAGCAAGAATGTCTTCAAACTCAGTTGGGACACATAGAAAACCCACCGAAGCACAATGAGTACTCCTGTAGCCCTGTATTATAAAGATGAAATAATCGAATCATTAACAATGTCTGCAACAGACTGTTACACGTGGCAGTGCACTGGTAGAATAAGCCATGCATTCCATATGGTTCACCTTGCACATTTGCTCGCTCGTCGGCTGCCAAACCAGTTTTTTTGTTGCGTAATTACGCCGACTGAGGTATGTTCAAGATGCCTCTCCCCTTGACTGCTGCAAACATTCGGATGGCAGCAGAGGGGCCCCGACACCTCGAGAGTGCGTCTGCCTCGGAGCGCTCTTCTGCTCTCAGCTTTCACCAGCAAAACCAACAGCCTGCACACACCACAGGAAACATGACACAACGCCGGCGGATTTGAGATCGATGCAGAACGCCAGCATCACTGGATATCAGTTTGCAGACATTATTTGAGACGGTTTCTTTGTTTGGGGAGACAGGAATAACATTGACAGGGTGTAAGACTCCAGCTGGTCTTAAAGCAGGTGAATAATCTTGTTGGCACAACCCCAGAACCCATGATTCATATATAAAAACACAACAACAACAAAACAAACAAACATTCTATTTCACTACTGCAAACTCACACACACCACAGTGCACTGTGGTTAACTCCTGAGCACAGGGACTGAAACACCGTTCCCCAAAAAGTGCATTTCAGCAAAGATGGAAAAAAAACAAAAGATGACTGCACGCTCATTCTCTTTAAAACACTGACTCCCACGTTCCTGAATTTTTGACTGCTTACGACATTTCAGTTCATTACTCAAGAGTGGCATGCTGATCAGCGTGTAAATGTGCTGACTCGATATTGTGCCTATACTGTTGTTGTCACACTACAGCCACCAGAGAGATGTCTGACCACCACCCCCTGAAAAAGGGGAAAAGCAAAGAGATGGATTAATTTTGCCAACAAAACAAAACAAATCCAGGGTTGCTCCGTTTATCATTCCCAGCGACTGACCGGTGGCCTAAATACTTAATACCGAAGCAAACATGTTTGCAGCGTTGACTAATCTTCTCTGTGTTTGGGATTAAATGACATAAAAGAAGATTTCTATTCAGGCCCTGCACAATACATAGCTTTTGTCTTCTGTTTACACGTGGAGCTAGATTCAGTCCATCAGAAAAAGTAAATAGGTGGACCATATTGTAAATCCTGACATCACATTTACAGTTAGGGACCCACAGGACTTTTTGGAATATGACGAAAACATTAAAATGACAGCTTGGTACTGCCGTTTTAAGAAGTGTGATGTCACTAAAAACTCACTTCTCAAGTGCAATAATCCAGAAATAACATTAATAACAGATTATTCTACTGCTCCCATCAACATCATCATTGTGAAGAACAATAGACTGAATATCGTGCCACTCTCTCTTCCTGGTATAGTTGCTGTTGTGTCAACTGTATTCTGTACTCTCGGTGGGGGGGCCCTACCTGGTTGGGGTCGTTGGCCCGGAAGACGTGACAGGACATCTCGGACTCGGGGTTGTCGGGCTGGCCCCGCGTGAGATAGGCGAAGTAGGTGAGGTCGTTGCTGTTGTGTATGAAGCGCGAGACGAGCTGCGCCTTGTGCTCGAATATGAACACCGACGAGCAGTTGCTGTTGGAGGGGACGCACCGGACGAACGGGGGGTTGAGGACCAGCTGAACTTCCCTCGGCTGCACCGCGGGGCCGCAGTCGCCCCTCTCGCTCCTCCTGCGGATCTCCGCCACCAGCCACGGCAGCATGGGCAGGGTGGTCCGCCTGTCGAGCGAGGACCAGCCGACGTACGTCAGGGCGAACCTCCTGTCCGACTTTGGAGGACTGGTCTCCCTCTCATCCGGACTCTCCATGTCGACCCCCGGCGGGACTTTCGGTCGATCTCGTTGACAGTGACGCGGGGTACTAAAAGACTACTTTAACAAAATAAATAAACGATCCAGATGTACCATCCCCTGCAACCGAGGCCGGGGCGTAGTTGTGGTTAGTTTGCAACAGTTTCCCTGTCCGCATCCACGGCAAAAAGTTGCACGCAACCAAGCGATTTGCTACACGCACATGTGCTCGGCCCGTCGATCAGCTGCATGTCATCCAAAAATCACACATCCAATGTCACGTCAATTGATATATTTATATGGTGGCGTGTTTTGCAGCGTGTCTCTCTCTGCTCCGGTCCTCCACTGTTTGCAGCGACTCGAAACGCCAGAACAGTTCCGTACTGTCCCAGCACGAGCTCGCTTGCGTGCTTTAAAACGTGGCTGTGGATGGCTCCTGTGTAAACACAAGTCGCCCAGAGAAATCTGATTTCTTGGAAGCTGCTCCTGAGCGCACAACGGGACGGCGCATTACAGACCCGACCCCGGAATCCTATTACGCTGAAGCTTAGCCATCGTGGTCGCTATGTTTCTCTTTCCCTTTCTAAAAAACATACATGCATCGCATGCTTGTTTATCGCCTCCCGGTCTGTGATCCTTTCTTCCACAACGCCTCGTAAGGCGGAGCGGCTGTGTGCGCGTTGACGACCCGCCCCAACCGTCCCATGTGCTGGGGAAGTGGGCAGGGGCAGAGCCGCTGCGTGAAACGTGACAAGCGGGAGGCTCCACCTTTTTATACACTAGCAGCATAATAACTGGAAAACCTCTTCCACGGTAGTGTGGATTTGTGTTTAAGGGCCCCCTCGTGGCGGTGGTCCTCCGGGCCAGACACTCAGTTGTAAACCCTACCTAACAACCGACATCGGCCGGTGTAAAGAGACCAGACTCGGCCGTACACTTGGCTATATGTTGGCAGCACAACACGCAAGAGTTCACAACTAAGTGTTTACAAGTAGGCCGTGCTGATTCACAGTCTTGGAAAGCTGTAATCACATCTGATGCGCTGGAGTTCCCATCGAATTCCGAGCACTCTTATCCCCCAAAATAGTATCTGAGCCATATTTAACCTCATCACTGAGGCAGAAGCCACAAGAGCTGTGCAGCCCACTAAACCCCGCTCTGCTGGTGAGCAACATGTGAACATATCCTACCTGTATACTTATAACACAGCTGCCCCCAGACCCTTATTTGATGAAATAATAGTTGTATTTTTGTTCTTGGAGTGCTGACATGGTATTGAATCGAAAATCTAAACATGCAATCGTACACAATCTGCACACTAGATAACTAAAGCATGCCTTCAGATCCCCAGACTTCCCATTAGGAACCACCATCAGACTAGAAGAGTACCCAAAAGTAGAGTCTGAATTATTTCCCTGTGGACTCTACATATACAGAGTAGTAAGATGGTAAACAGTGGCAGTAATTTACAGCAATTGTTTTAGTGTACAATTGTTTTATTTTGCTCTGAGCTGTGAAGTTGGGATGAAATAACAACGCACTGCAAGGTTTACATTTAATCATATTTTATTGCATCATTGTTGTGTGGCATCAAAGTGAGGACGGAGCAAAGTGGAAAAAAGTGCGACGCTAGGCCTCCTCAGAACCACACGGTGGCCATTTCAGCATAGCAAGGGGAAAAAACACAAAGAGTAAAAGAAAGTTTTCATCAATTTGACATTAACAAAAAACTGCCTTAAGTACCCATGGACCATCTCACTGCACCGCGTCTATGAAATCTTAGCCACTGAATGACACCATGTCGTATAAAGGATGCTGTAAAGAGGGCTAATCACAATCCATAACCCAAGATAAAAAAATAATACAACTGCAGTGTTCACTGTGGCGACGTATTCTGATTGTGTACACTCTAAAAGTACCACACCAGAGGGGGCCTGAAGTTTAGTGCAATATAGGACCTGAACCATAACATTGTTAGACAAAACTAATGCAGTCTGATAAAACAGTCCTTCATGAAGTTTATAAAAAGTTCAGTTTAAACTGTTTTAGAGAGGTGTTGACTCAACTAAATGTCTATTTAGTCTGTCTAGACTATTTTTGTTAAAAATATGCAAAAATGTCCTTAAACAAAACAAGACAAAAATAATTCCTCTCCATCACTTATGACCTACTGCCTAGATTTTCTCTTTCCTAATTATTTTGCCGTGTTCGGGGGCCTCACGTGGCTAATAACAGCATGCAGGGTGTGCAGCAAGTTCAGGTTGTCCAATACCGCCGCTCGCTATCTGCTACCGAGGCACAAGTCCCCCTCTAGCTCTGTCGAATAACAAAGCGGCCGTTGTTCTCGTATTGGGATGAGAACGGGTTGTTACGTGGCTGTTTCCCCCCCGTGTGTCTCCCTCTCTCCTCGGCTGTGTGACTGAGTGTCTGTGTTCCCAAGTCCACACCTGCCCCTTGGCTGCATTCGTTGCCAAATCAGCACTTTCCCGCAAGTTTGTGTTTGAGGTGTGGAAGTGTTTTATTTGTGCTTTAGAACGTAAAGGCTGTGAAACACTCAGAAAATAACATTTTGTTTCTCCGACTCTGCTTTCTGTTCTCACTAACGCATCACGACTGCACGTAGCAGACTGCCAGACCCCAATGAAGTAAAATGCCAGGGCATAAAGGGCATCTCTGGAACACTACCACTTTTGTCCACAGGGGCCGCCAAATTCAACACAAAATGAAAGTTCCTTGTAGTAACTTTAAAGTGGGATTTATTATTTATTAGACTGCATTAGTTATCATGCTACCTCGATAAGTTAATGGGAAGAAGTACACTTAATCCTGGCATTCAGAGTGAAGATGAGGTTTTTAAACTATTGGAACAGCTGTTTGTCCTAAAAAGTAAATAATTTCGACGCTGACGCAATCTGTGGAACAATGAAAGTGTAAAGCAGACAATTGAAAAGTCATTTGTTTTCACATTGTGAGACACCCAGAAGGCCCACACACACACACACACGTGTGTCATGCTGCTCTTGTGTTGGTTACATGTAAACTGGGGTGGAATTTCCACAAGCACTTCGGCAATCACACAGTCTCCATAACAGCTGCCATCTCCTTGAACTGCTTGTGAAAGTTCTGCCAGGGACAAACAAAAAGAAATCACAAAAATCATAAAAAAATCGTGATAAATTGCACCAAAGAACATTACATTCACATCAACAAACACACACCTGGAACTGTGGAATGGTCATTTCAAAAGACCTGTGATAAATCTGTCCAGAGGGCTCGACGATCTTCAGCAGCAGAGACACATATGGGGAGTTGAGCGATCGGCAGGTGTCGGAGCTCACCGCCATGCCGAGCTTCCACTGCAGGTCCACCAACTAGCAAGATGCAGCAAACAAACAAAGTCTCATCAGCCTCGAATAGAGACAAACTCATCAAGAAATATTTAAAAATGACATTTGGGCATACCTGGCCGATGCTGAGCATGGCCTGGACCTCCTGCTGAGCATGGACCGATGCACCATGTTCACTCCACAGCCTGTGCAACACCTGAAGGGAAGCCTTCGGCCACTTGTTGCTGCCTTCTTCCAGCCTCGACACGAGGTCATCCCCAGAGAGGCCGCTCTTCCCGGCGGACCTGATGATACAAATGTCACCTGACACTGCAATGAAGTGCATCTTTGTGTAAAGATTTAGCATTTTACCAGGTGCATAGCCCCGGATAAAGGCTGTTAAAGCTCCGTTACACAATTGGCACCCACGCTACAGGCATGTTCTAATGAAGGGGAGTTGGACATGCAAAAACAAACAAACATGCAAATGCATCAAACATAACATGTTGGGCCTCGATCAATACCATAAGGAATAAACGTGGGCTGACACATTCTAACACACCACGTTCATAGGCAAAAAAAAGAAGAGAAAAATAGATACCTGAATGATAACATGAGAAATCTGATCATGTTCTGCAGAGCTTCATGGTCAAGTCTGACTCCAGCTCTCTGAAATCTCTGTCCAGACAAAAAAAAAAAAAAGAAGAAGAAAACAAGTAATGAAAGAGGAACTTGGGAAGCTGGGTTACTAGAAGTTAAAAAAATATTCTGGGGAAATATTGACTCACGTCAGAAATTTCGGCTGAATTTACTCCTCTGGTTTGCCCTTGAAGAAAAGTCAGAATGTGCCGACACTGTGGAGATTAGAAGATTAGTTATCGGAACTGCAGCACAACCTCTATGGCGACGACGCCACATCCTGTGCGACTTGTGCGGAGTGCAGCTGCTAATAGCCCGACAATGAACACCAACATACTGTATTTAACATCCATTGTTAATCCCACTGAGAGGTTTGCTCTACTGCGATTTCATGCAGTGGCAAACATTATGACATGAAGTGTTAAGAGAGACGCTGCTTTACAATTTTGTCAATTAAGATATTTATTCTGTGGCACGATGCGTGACCTGTGCGGTGTTCCTCTTCTCAGCACGGTGTTCCTCTTCTCAGCACGTCTACATCACTCACTTCGATGTTACTCAAGGACTATGCTGTATGCCTCGTTCTTAGTATTTGCTTTTTCATTAACCTGTTTCCTGCATGGGAACATGTACAAAGAGAGATCAAATATACTCACTGCTTCAGTCAACAGATCTGGAGAAAGCTGACAGATGTTGTCCACAACTTTGTTGACACCTAGAGTACAGAAGTGAAGTGAGTGACGGTGTCAGAGTCCATCTATGTTAATCATGGTCCATCTGCGTCCTTTTTAAAAGGGCACGCAAGCAAATTAGACTGCGAAGGAATCTTGCCAATTATTCATCTATGATAAAACTATTGCAAATATGTCAGTGTGACGTTACCTTTTCTTACTCAGGACTTTATTCAGTAAACAGACAAATAGAAACCATATTCAGGACAGGAAAGAAGAAGAGACGCCAAGGGACAAGGAGGGCCAACGCATAAGGCAAGACAACATTTAAAATAATAATTAGGACAAATAGTTTATAAATCAGAAATAAAATAATTAATCCAATTTCAAGAAAGTTGTCACATGAAATAATTATTTGCATGTATTGTGGACTTTCATAAAAAAAAGAAAAGTAAACAGGGTTTAACTTTAGTCATTTTGCTCCTATGAAAACGGAATTTAGCCAAAACAATAATAAAGTTGATAATATAGCAGTGTTTGGGCAAAATGATCTCATAGATATGAAATTATAAAAGCACATGTTCTAAACACAAAACAAATTCAGGAAGGACATGATCATGAATGAGAGCACTAATATCAGACCAAAAATACACAGTTCTAAAATAAACGGAAACGCATTCATGTCACTATTAAATCTCTTTAAATAAAGGTTAGTGGTTTGACATTTATGTAAAAGCTTGAAGGAGATGCCTTCAACTTTATCAGTTGTAATATATGCATGGGGTCAGGTCCAGGTATTTCCCCAGCGAAGGTTGTTAAACAAATTCAAGGTATTGCAGTAAGGTTCTCCATTTAAAATATAGACAACACCCTGAAGTAATGTTCGGATGCTTCTGTTATTGCTCAGTAGAAATCTCCTGTGATGTGCAGAATCCGTCTGCCCTATAGCGGGTCTGCTGGAGAGTACCCTGATCACCAGACAGCATCCGTTTTTCTGAAAGTATCTCCAGAATCACCACATAGTCTTCTAACTAACCATCTGCATTAAAACAAAAAATATTGCGTCCGCTGACAGAACAAAAAGATGTTGACCTGTTTGCCAAGCTGTGCCTCTAGTTCCAAATAAAAACAAAGATGGCCGCCAGCCGAATACCTGGATGCGCAATTGAGCCGCAACTTGGGAAACGAGTTAAAACCTTTTTTTTTTTACATAGCACAGCTCACATGATGTAGTGTCTGTGAGGGCTTCAATATAGTGAGACAAGCGGTGAGTGGCATGGTTATGCGTGGCACTGGTAACGTTACACCGATTAGGGTAAAGTTGGGGTAGGGTTAAGCGTCGCAGAAGACGACTGGTTTGGTTTAGGGATATAGTTTGGTTCAGCTAACGCTAATGTTACAGGTAGCGAGGGGAAACAGAAACTAGCGACCGTGTTAAGCTAACGCTACTAAATCAATGGCTGGGAGAAGCCTCTTCGTCTCTCGAGTCAAACTGCAATCTGCTGAAAACACTGTACGGTTAAGCAACATGATGGAAGTGGAAACTCACCATACGATTCCTCTGCTGCTGGCATCTTCTGACAAGCTTCACGTTTGACCGCCGTGCAGTGTTACCAACTTAGCGACTTTCTTGCTTGGCCTTTAAAGACCCCTTTAGCGAATTATCTAAAAAGAAGGAGAAGGGATTATTATCATTTAAACCACTTGAGCTACTTTCTGTGCAGAGAAAAGTCCTCTCATTCAAGAGAATCGGTAATACTCCTCTTCTTTTTCTTTCTCGGCGTTTCCCAACTATCGTAAAGGGTTTTTACCGCCACCTACTGTATTGGAGTGTGATCGGCTGCTTTAAGGTTTTGGTTTTTACGCTTACAGCAGCTTTGTTTTTCTGTTTGTGAAAAAGGAGCAGGCTCATTTCACCTTGGCCGAATTAAAAAAAAATAAATAAAAGTTTTTGAGGTATAGAAGTTACTTTCTGGATGTACAGTATTTCCTGCTGTAAAAAGCTTAGGTGACTGGCAATTTAAACTTTCATCAATTTCAAAATGAATCACACTACTATAATATCTTACACTATGTTATGCCAAATCACACTATATTATGATATCACACTTTGTTCACACGTTATTATGATACATCACAATATGTCATGCCATCACACTGTACTATGACATCACACTATATTAAGGCACAGACTATACTACAACATCACTGTTGAATACTGGAGCCTTGACTTATTTATTCAGTCAAACATGAAATGATGCTAAATTAAAGATGCATTGCACATATATCTGTTACAGTATTATGACAGGTGTTTGATCGATAAAATAGAGTATTTCATACATTCTTCAAATGACAGTAGAACCAGCCTTTATTTTAGCCCAGGACAGAGTACAGGATCTGCTTTAAAGTTATTAGTGTAGTTAAAGTGTTCAGAAAGACAAGACAAGGAAGCAAAGACAAAGAAAAGAAACTTGATGAAATACATATGTGAATTGTTTTTTGCTTGTAACACAAGCACTTGACTGTAGATCGCCAATCTAAACAGCTGTTACTGTGCTATTGTTAGTGTCTACTGGACTGTAAATGGAGAATGGAGTTTCTGCCATCTAGTGTCACATTTGGCTTTGGCAGCGAAAGACAACAGATTCAGACAGCAAGGCCGAGATCCTCCTTGTGGCACTGGCACCACAGTGGCAAGTCTGTGGCAAGCGTCAGTCAGGTGTCAGGACAGCGGCGAGCGAGCGGTACTTGTTCGCCACCTGTCAAAAAGCTGCCGAGCTGAGCGGCCTGAGAACATCCATTGTTGTTACGACATGTCAGTTTTATGATCATAGTATGGATTTTAGTTGAGTCACAGAGTAGCTGCGTTTTTTTTCTTTTGTCAATACCTAAGTGTACAGACAGACAGACAGACGTAGGCCTATTTGTAGACTTAATAATTACAATATGCAATACTACTGTACTATACTGAATATTGTTTTGCTACTACTACATTTCACTTCATAATATATAACACTTATATACCATAATATTTATAATGTGCCAACCTTTTTAATTTAATTTAGTAAATTTTTTTATTTTAAAACGTTATACCACCACTATGCTACTTTACTTCTAGGAGACTGTTAGTCTAAGCACAACACTGGTATCATTTTTCCACCAGGTAAACCTGAATACGCACACCTCTTTTGAGTGTAACAGCAATTATAACCGCACAACTATCTAGATTCTAATCAACTGGAGAAAAAACTTTGAATATTAACAGGACCCATTGAAATTGGATGGGAAATGTAACTCAGCAACGGTCCGAATAAGTCAATCCATGGAGCTGGCTTAAAGCTGTATGTGTTGAGCAACCAGGTTCAACTTTATTTTGAAATTTACTTTGTTGAAATACTTCCGATAACAACGTTATGACGTTTTGAAACAAAAATGAACCAAAATAGTTTTCACTAATTATTAAGCCTACTTTAATAGTACTTTTACAGATTTTAATTTTAAAATGTTTTTAATTATACATACTTTTAAATTATACTAAAACAGATTATTTTCATTATTTTGCCCGATTGTTGTAAATTACTATACAAGTAATTATTTGGAAAGAATGTGCTTTGTTCCTTTTTGTTTGAAAACCAGCGAATACTGAAAGAGAAACAAAAAGTACAACATGGTTACTCTTTTAAGGATGTATACAGAGAACAAGTGGCTCTAGTGACTCAACTCAGACTTGTCACTACGGTGCCACACGATTGCTACTGTCAATAATCACACTCGCTGTCTCTCATGAATCGAACCAGTTCGCTAATTTGCGAGATAAAAAAAAAAATATAGCAAAATTATCAGTGAAGACGATTAGGAACACGGCCATTAATAAAAAATAAAGCGGACGAAATGTCGCACTGTGTAGAACAGAACGGGACTGGGCAACCACTGAGAAGTCTTTCTGAAGTCCAAAACACGCCTGCGACTCTGGAATGATCCACTGTTGGGCGGTGTGGGAAGCACATTCAAAACTGCTTTTTATTACAGACAAAGAACCATGACACAATTATCTACGATAGAATAAAATAACATAACTATGATTATAATGTATGTAACTTGTATTTGTATGGTGTAAAGTATTGGGTGTGGTGTATTTATGGTTTATGAAGAGGCAAGTACCCCTGCATATTATTTAAATGTCAGGGTGCACTCTCCTGACGCGGAAGCGAATTTGAGCTGTCAAACTGATTTTGGTGAATCAGTTTCAGCGTTTTAGCTCTCGGTAGACAGGAAAGTAACTGTTGACGTTACTTCAGAATGGATAGTCCACGCTGGTTGCCCCTGGAGTCAAATCCAGAAGTATGTATTGTTGATACTTCTTCAAACTTTATCGTTTTTATCGAAGCCATTCATTAACAAGCATGTGAGGGCTAGCTAACTTTGAGCTAGCAGTTAGAACAAAAGCTGAATACCGGTGTGGCTGCTTTGCCAAATCCAAAAGCAATTTGACTAATACTTCTATTTGTGTGCTTTCATTTCAGGTCATGACCAAGGTGAGAATTTTCTTCTGATTTAATTTAACACCAGATGGGTCTTAATAAACAGTGACAAAGAGACTTGCAGAGGGACAAGGCCTACCCAGCAAATATGCTACCTCCAATGTAACGCTATCATTAAAGAGTAACGTCTGTCCATGGGATTTTCAATAACATCTAACAAAAAATGTAGCCTCTGTCCTGCAGTAGAGATTTCCTTTTTGAAGTAGCCAAAGCCTCTGAGCAAAGTGATCAATGTAACCCCGGATTAATCATACACAGTGCTGTCCACATTTAACAATGGGAAGAGGTGGGACGTCTCAGTCTGTGCCAGTTCATCAGGATCACTTGGTAAAGTGAGGTTAACAGTTTGCCACTGATGATGATGCGGGGGAACGGAGACAGTTTGAAATTGGTACATTTCCTACTCTATTCCTATTTCTATTCATTTAAATTCATTGCAAGTGTAACCAGTCAACACGCAGCAGGTCAGCAGTACATGAACAATTGGATATTTAGCCACAGTTTCAATTGTACATATGACAATTAAGTTTCCAATAAAAGGTCGGTAATTAATTAATACTTGCTTGGGTTTTGATAAAAACTTGTCTTTCTTGGAAATTCCTAATTTCCTTTTACCTGGTACCAAAATTCAATATTTACAGGAAACTCCCTGTAAGATTTTCTAACAGAAATGTAATATGTTGCTATGCAGTGAATATTCCTTTGAGTGTAATGACATTGACTTGTTTTAAAAATATATATATATTTTATTGTATTATGTTACGGACAGGACAGGACTAAGTTCTATCCGGAGCCAGCTGTGACGTACAACTTAACTTTGAGGTCAACTTTTCTACCTTGCTGAGATGTCGTTAGGTTAGCTTTACGTCTTAGTATGCGTACAAATGAACTCTCACCTTTTGTGTAGTTCGTCAACTGCTTGGGAATGAGACCAACCTGGCAATTTGGAGATGTCTACGGATTGGATCCAGAGCTTCTCGGCATGGTACCAAGACCAGTGTGTGCAGTGCTGCTTCTCTTCCCAATGACAGATAAGGTATGTTTTTTTGCATCTTTGGTGTGAAATGTATTCACTGCATGTGGATATAGGCCATAGTGCAGGTCTCCACATGGATGCATGTTGTGACTCAACAATTGCTGTACAGGATCATGTCTATGCGCTAAGAAACAATGTTCAACAGAGATTTCTCTTCTCTCCTCCTTCTGTCCAGTATGAGGCTTTCAAGCAAGAAGAAGAAGAGAAACTCAAGGGTCAGCGACAGGAGGTGTCTCCGGACGTCTACTTCATCAAGCAAACTATTGGAAACGCCTGTGGAACAATAGGATTAATTCACGCAGTGGCGAACAACCAGGCTCACCTGGAATTCGGTGAGTATTTATGCTGTTCATGTCACATTCACTGGAAGAGAGTCGTATGACTGCAGAGTTGATTGTGTCGTGTGTGTGGGTTAAAATGACTGTGAGAGGACAATATAACACGATATCCATTCAATTTGGATTTGAATACATTTTTAGAACAAAACTAGCAGCAAAACAATTAAAGGCACTGTTTTGTTTTCTCTCAGCCTAGAACAGTTCTGTATCGCTTAGTTTTAGGACAAGAAACTGATTTTATTTATCTAGCCTACAATACATAACCTCTGATTACAATATCTATAATATATAGGTCGACTGATAGTGGATTTTAAACGATAGTACTGAGCAGTACTAACGATTGATTCATCGATCCACCATTTACAGATGCATCGCTTAATAAACAATTCATTTTCCTCCAAAGAATCAAATTGAACATTTCATTTAAGTCCATTTTGACAAACTGTCATTGTATAATTAAGCAAAAACCATAAGATGCGCTGCGGCATGGAAATCTGCTGTTTGTTTTCCTTATAACACTTATTCAGTTATAATATTGATGTCGATTGATATTTGATTGAGCGTCTACGTCAGGGGTCCCCAACTGGCGGTCCAGACGCAATTGCATCCGGACCCAGGATCTCAAACAGATAATTTTGAAATCTAAATATTACATAGCCAGTTTATACTTTAACCGGCGCAACTTATTCAGCCGTTACGGCACTTGTTCAGCGGTGCAGGAAACACGCCGACCAATGCGTTGTAAATCACATCACGTGATGCAGCTCAGCCAATCAAATATGAGTATTCTGACAAGTTTCCTGAATCGAGTGAGATGAGATGTATACACACCGTGACGTTCTCCAAAAAGAGAAACGTGTTCAGAGAGAATAGAATTTATAAGCATGAATGAACAGACTCTTCTATGTTAATTCTTCCCACAGGAAGTTAGAACCAGCATGTCCCATATGTTCATAAACCGTAACTATTGATAAAAGTGGTAAATGAAGCGACACTACGAGGCAAAGCACATCTCCTTTGAACAAATGTACCCTCTCACATCTGAAATGAAGACACAGAAAATAAACCTAAGAGCCCAATACCATCAGAATCCTAACACATTAGTTCACTGTCCACCCCCCCAGCTCTGACTCCATAGATTTTACTGCATGTTGTCCTTTGCCCTCAGAGTCTGATTCTCCACTGAAGAAGTTTATCGAACAAACGTCTAAAATGACCTCAGAGGAAAGAGCCGCCTTCCTGGAAAAAGACGAGGTAAGGAAACTCTGCAAATAACATCTTTGCTCAAGGATGTGGTGATGAAGTGGTCACTAAATCGCCTATGTCCAGGTAACTTTTTAGCATTTACAATTTTGTGTAACAGCTCTGTCATTTGTCAGTTAATGATAATACTGGCCTTGTGTTATGTACTTTTGTAGGAGATTGGTAAAATTACCTTTTAAGCACAATACCAAAGAAAAGCTACCAGGAACCACTGCGTACCCTCATTGGCTCTTTTCCCTACTTTCTGTTTCAGAGTATACGCGTTACACATGAATCCAGTGCACAGGAGGGGCAGACTGAGGTTTGTTTTGAGTTTTAGTAAAAGGAGCACGCTTGAGACAGCGAGAACACCTCTGGTTTTTGTTTATTAGGAATGTGTTTAACTCAAAATCCCTTTGTGTTCATTTCTTGTCTGTTTTAGGCCCCAAGTTTAGATGAGAAAGTGAACCTGCATTTTATAGCTTTTGTGAATGTTGGAGGACAGTTATATGAACTGGGTGAGTTAACCACTGTTCCACCACAAATATATTGAGCTGCATTTGTCTCATTGTTGATGATAATTACTTACGTCCACTTTCTTTTTTTATTATTATAAATCTAGATGGCCGGAAGCCTTTCCCTATTGTCCACGGAAAAACCTCAGAAGATCGTTTCATGGAGGTAAGACTGCACATAATACAACGGGCAAATTGTCATAAATATTTTGTCTCTGGTTGAGTTGCAAGTCCTCATGTGTTTGATTTCCCCGCAGGACGCTGCAGAGGTTTGTAAGGTCTTCATGGCTCGTGACCCTCAGGAGCTGCGTTTCACCATCATCGCCCTCTCCAAAGATTAATACCGAGGAAGCTCCCGTGTGACCCCCAGAAAACAAAGAAAAACATTACTGCCAAACATTCTCAAGTGCTGACTTCATTGGAATCCCCCACCCCCCCCCACCCCAAAAAAAAATCCTTATGGTGGAAATTCTAAAATATCCGGGGTATCATTCTGTAGTAATGTTAAATTGTTTGGATATAAATCACTTGAAATTCTAAGGGAGTCAGAGTGCTGCTAAAAGTATTTCCTGTTAAGATCACAATCTTCCGTTTCTTCACTGCTGAAGCCTCTCTAACTGTAAAACAGATATCAGCTGTACTATCTTGACACTGCACTTAAGTTTGTTTACATGGCATGTTTGGCTTTCAATGAAGAAGGAAAGGGAAAAAAGATTCTTCAGCTCAACTTCTTCTTTTTTTTTATGTGCTCCGTGTTCAATGACACATGCTGCATGTATGGATTTGTTTTTGATCATGTGTCCAACCACATGTTCAAAACCAGCTGAAGAAAGAAGTTTGGCAAGGCTTTCATTAATAAGTCATACCTTTGAAGAAACAGAGAAGCCTAACTCTGTTGTATGCAGTAATATTGTTATGAAAAGCTGATTTAAAAAAAAAAAAAATGCAAACTGTACATCCATGTGGAAGGTGCCTACATTTTCCTAATAAGAATTACAAATTCTGTCAAATAAAAGGCAAATTTATTAAACCTCTCTTTTGTTGATCTTCTCTGTAACCCAAACATCGTAGTTATTTATCCATCTGTTAACCTTTTATATACATTGACCTTTGATGGGTTTGTTGCCAGATGTCTACCGCTTGATCAGGCCTGCTGAAGAGAATTAAAAATAAATATATTTTTGTCCAGATTTCTCTCACGAACCCAGCTGTGTGACCGTGACACTGTAATGCATACAAAAATAATACAGGTAAAGTGGAAGAGTGATGAGCTGAGAATTCTCCACAGTCTGTTGGAGAGAAATGGTGAAAAATAAAGCTAAATACAGTAAAGCAAAGAAGACTGGTGCAACATCTCTAAAATACAGCAATCAACCACCAGCTGATGTGGACAGGCATTTTTGTTGGAAAAATGTAGTCAGATTCCTCATTACTCCTAAAGACTTAAAGTACATTTCATCTGCATAACAGTCGTGCTGGAGACTGAGTGGAGAGAAAAATGCAGATCACACCTGTGTTTTCTGAGACTGTATGAAAATGATAATGAAAGCGATATTTGGTCATGAATTACAAAGGACATTTTATGGTGTTCTATCTCGGCAATCTTTCGAGGGAAAGCGTTCAGTGAGATGACCGATGGTTAAAGTTCTGTTAGTGGCGACCAAGAAGGCAATAGTGCAAAGAGGACCCTCTTACTCTGAGTCACTGGCTGGATACTGTTGAGATATTTTAAATTGAAAGACTCCGATGTGTATTGAGGATTCAACAATTTGAATTTATTGAGAAATGGGACAATTGTTTGCAATTAAGGCCCGAGACCACTGGAACCATTGAGTAAAGACAGGGACATCTTGAGCTGTAGCTATGCTATTTATATCACTGGCATGACTTCTGTTTGTTCTGTGGTCACTAAATCACTGAAATGGCAAAATGAAATACTATTAAAAAAAGAATGAGAGGTGTGAAACAGGCCTCACCCTTGATTGATTGTAATGCAACCACCTGCTCTAAAAGTTGTAAATTCATCCTAATTTGATGGAATATTTGTTATATTACATCAATGGGTTGATGTGGAACCATAATTTAACATTGCTGGTCAATGTGGAGCTAATTTAAACCACTCTGTTTACTTATGGGTATTTTAATCTATACAATGCATTATATTTTGTCACGTAATCGATGCTTTTGTATGTATAATTTGAATCTGCAAAGTAATAATTGTTGAATAAATGTAGCAGGGTAACATTAATTTCTTCTGAAATGTAGTGGAGTATAAATATTCAGTTCAGTGAAGAACAAGTAGGGTACTTTATTACATTATATTACCAATCCATGGAGTTTAATCTTGCAGCAAGTCAGTTCTGTTTTTAGGCCTTGCAGTGCACCCGAGCCGCCGCTGAGTGGCGCTGCAGGAGAGCGAGCCGAACTTCTCCAAGTAGTTTACCCAAGGACTCAACTTTTTTAACATTTGATGAAACGTTTTATACTCACAGACGTCAAACTGATACGATGTTGACCCGAGGAACTGTAATGTGAGACTGTTTGCTGGTTATGAGTCACATCGCTGTGCAGCAGACTGTACGGTCAGCGGGGGGGAAACAACGAAAAAACTGGGATCAAAATAATCTCTCAGACAGGGAAAATATCGGGCCAACTCAAGCGTGCGTTCACCTGGAAGCCGCTCAAAAGGACCCGTGGGTGGTCCTCGGACCCCACTTTGGACACCCCCCCCCCTCCGCCACGGCCTCATGCATGCTTAAACTTAAACCAGAAGTGAATCTCTCTCCTGTCAGGGACGAAGTGAGCCCGCAGTCGGACTGTGGAGATCTCGTTTGATCGCTGTGAACCGAGAGCGGTGTGTCGAAACTATACCCAGAAGAGAAACGCGCCACAGGCGTGCCGGATGAAAGGACAGGTACGCCTGAGGTGATGCAAAGGGAGCTCCGCGTCGCTGTTCCACCTTGCATTCAGGCACAGCGACTGGCTGGGTGGAAACGAACAATAGGACACATTTTTCTTGAATGAGTAGTGTGATTACACGTTTTACCGGTGAAGCTCTAGATTGCTTAACGAGTTTTTGTTGTTTGTTAAGTGCGTGCGTTGTGTCTGCTTGTTTGGACTGGCCCACATTTCATGTCACCGGACTTTGTATGCGGGGAACTGTAGGAACCCATTCGGCCCCGCCGGTGCACACAATAGGTCGCTGTGATGGAGTGGCGCGAGCAGTCCGCGGTCAGCTGCGACGAAGCCTACGTGGAGGCGCAGAGATGGATTGAGGTGAGTAAAAACGTTTTCTTTTATTTAAACTATCGAAACACTTTTCTTCACAGATACTGACAGCTTTGGAAATCAGAGGTGTAATCGAATAGGCAAAGTGCTTGTGATCGCCACGGCAATTCAGGAAAACGGGTGTTTTTGTGTGGATTTGTTTTCTGTTTAAAGAAGTTTGAAAGAAGTTGTGGCTGCTGTGAGATTTAAAGCTGAGGTTTACTTTCCTAAACGTCCCTGATTTAAAGCCCGCTTGGGGTTTATATAGCTCAGCTGCTGAACCACAAAAGTTCCCAGATAATAGTAACCTGGAACAACAGATTCATGGAGGCATGTGTCACCTTTGACCTCTCCTCTCAGGTATAATAGAGTGGAAGTGTATTATTTCAGCCACTTGAAACCGTGTGGCTTTAAACCACTCCAAGCCTTAGCCACGTCCTCTATCTCACCTGTTCTCAGAGTACAGGTGGATTTGACCCCATTCATCATGATCATTGTTTTCACACTGCTTACTTTTTGTCAGATCTTGACGAGAACCTGCTCATCAGTTTCTCTAATGTTCATCCCAGGGTTTCTCTTTGAGGCTACAGTTTCAATGACGTCGTGAGGAATTCAGCAGAGCAATTGTGAAAAAACTTCTATGAGTGATCTATGAATCATAGCTATTTTACCATACGCCTACTGTAAGAACAGATCAACCTGGAAGGAGTCATGAACCGACTGGGTTTAGGGTTCCCACTTTGTTTATGACACTGGCTATAATAAGGAATGCTCTCTGCCATATACAGAACACTTAAATTGTTACTCCATGTGTCAGTAATGAATCAGAAATGAAAAAAAGCAGTCACACTTTATGGCTCGTGTGCTATTTATGACCATTTCTGTAAAACACGCCATGCATTTAGAGTAGAGGTTTCAACAAGTGATTACTGTTCTATCAAAAAAAACTTTAATAATCATAAAGTTTCCTCTTTTCAAATTGTAAAACAGCTACCAACTAAAAAAAAACTAAAAAAGGTAAAAAACTACCCACCAGCCCTTTAAAAACAAGTCCCATTTTATTCCCAAAATGTCAAATCATTTAAAGTTTCCACTCAACCGCCAGCCAGACTCTCATTCTTTCTTAAATTTTTTTTTTTTTTTTTTTTTTTTTACAAGCGTGTGGAATTATGTTTCTCGCAAATTCTCTTCCCAGCAGGGTGGCGAGGAGCTGCTGGAGGGGCTGCAACTAAACAAATATTGTTCTAATTTCACGAGGGGGGTGAATCTGAATTCTTCTGATGTGACATCAGTGTCTCTCGCGCTTACACACTGGCCCATTGTCGCGGGTTACCTCGTGCACCATGGTGGGGGCATGATC